ACTCAACTAAACTCACTTCATTGCCTCATCTGTTCCCATGCCGGGCTTGTCCTGAAACTGTTCGAAAACCCAAGCAAATAACAAAACTACGTTTTCATGAAATTAAGACAATTTCGAGGTTTCACTTAAATAACAAAAATAAAACAAAAACAAAAAAAATAATTAAAAACAAAACATTTTAAAAATAATCAAAATAAATACATATAAAAAGGAACACGATATTGAGTTCATCAGCAGTATAATGCTTATAAATATGTTCAAAAGTATGCTGTTAAATAATTTGGTTCTTAAACTCCGATAACAAAGGTAGAAGATTTATTGAGTCCGTCATACTTTTTACACACTTAAAGCTTGGAGTATAAATCGCAATCTTTCTTCTTTTTTTTGAACACCCAACAAAAATAAATAATTGGATCAGTTAAGAAATGTTTTTCATCTTAGCCGAATATTTTCACTTAACTAAACTCAAATCAAAAATTGTTAACATCAACTAACTCATGTATATACTATAATGCAAACCATCTAAGAATAGAAATGATATGGAAGCGATATATATTACAACAACAACAAACAACAAACTCAAAAGAATACCAAAAAAACAAAAAACCAAAAAAACAAAAAACAACTAAGCATAATAAACATAAAATGTAGTACATGCAATATATTTTTCGGTGTTAGGCGTCTTTTTGAGATTTTTACAGAAAAACTAAAAAACGAAAATAAAAACAAAAACAAACACACAAAACTCATATATATATATATATATATATATATAACAAAATCAAATAAAATATTTCATTGTTGATGTTGTGAGCTAAAAACAAAAGTAAAATAACAAATTGTATTTTGTCTCTTTCTCTCTCAAACTCTCTCACCTAAGCTCTACACTTTAACTGTCGTGTCTCTTAAATATTCAAAGAGTTTTACATACCTATATATATATATATATACATATATATATATATATATATAGTAGATGCATTACATACATATGTTGTATTACATATGTGTGTGTATCTAAGTGCAAGTAGTCGATAACAGTAACAGAAATATAAATTTAAAACAAAAAAAAAACCAAGAAACGAGAAAATGTTTCTTATTTTTTTTTTTATACATACCCGTAACGAATTCAGTGTCTACAAAATATACGATTTGAACAAAAACCATTTTAGATGAAATTCAAAAACTTAAAAAAATAAAAATAATAAAGCTAAAGTTAAAATTAAAATGCAAGTTAAGCAAAAGGGGAAATGGAGAGAAATACGATAAACAAGAACAAGGAATGATGAATTAATATGAAGAATAGATGCAAGAGAACTAGCAATAATTCTGAAATGACCTCAATCAAATATTTTTTAAATTTTATATATTTTAGTCGTGCAGCAAAGCAAAGCAAAACGTCTTAAATACAAACGTACTGTAAATAGAAGTTAAAAAACAAAAAACAAAAAACAAAAACAAAAAAAAAACAAGAAACATACAAAACGAAATAGCAAATGAATACAAAAGAAAGCAAAACCAAAGAAAACAACAAAATGTAACCACATAAAAATGTCTCTTGAACGAACGAAGTAAGAATGTGATATTTTTTTAAGCTGTACTACATACAAAACCAAAAACCCAAAAAAAACAAAAACAACAAAAAAAGCACAAAATCCAAGCAAAAAAAAAAAACAAAAAAAAAAACAACTTTTTACTGAATCAAAAACAAAAAACGAGAAAAGCCCAATAAAAATAAATCGAAATGAATATGAAAATTGAAATGAAAATGAAAATGTTAACCTATAATAATCGAAAGACATGCATAAATAGAACAAAGGCAATAGAGACTGATTTTTGACAAATGACAAGAACAACTGAGTTATGTGCAGAATGAGAATCCCAACAAGAACAACAACAAATAATAACAGCCATCAAATTGAAAATATTACAAAATATGCTATAATACTAAAATACACATAACACTGAACCACATCGGTATGTATTATTTACAAACGACTATTTTCGTATCGTTTGTGTATCTTTATCAAGGAGCGCTGTCCAGATCACAATTTGTTTTAATAATCAATAATGCTACCTGATCTTCCTGATCGCATTGCTCTTCTTTGGTCAGGGCTTTAATAGAACCAATATATGTATGTATATGCATATTTACATACATACATACATAAATACAGCCATAGGAAATCTCTTCAGTTAAGTGTAATCGATTTTGCCATTGCCATCATTTCGACTGGTTTATTAGCGTTAGCACAATGTGGGGGGAGGCTGGGGAGGCAGTTAGGGAACGGTTTAGGGAACGGTTTATGTTTGAGAGCGAATGCAAATTGTATTTAGAGATGTAACAGAAATAATGGAACCAAAAGGAACACATTGCGTGGTTTAGATTTAGATTGATCGACTTAGAAGCAATGTTAGTTTAAGTCTTCAATGCGGCACAGTGAGACAGAGAGAGAGAGAGAGAGAGAGAGAGAGGGAGAGGGGGAGAGGGAGAGCGAGAGTGAGACACGCGGCAAGTCTTACAGCTAGATACATATATTGAGGATGCGGTGAGGGGTGGGCGGGGCAGGATAATGGCAAAGCCGATATGTTGTGCACAATTAGCACAAAGTTGTAATTATTTTTGTGATAAAATCCGAAGCGCAATTTTTTTCCAACTGTATGGTAGGTAAATAGGTAAGGCAGCAGGGATCGAGTTGAGCGATACACAGCCACAAAATGTCTGTAAATAGTTAAAAGCTTGTTAAGATTGGCGCAGATTGTAGCGAACGGGAATGTGGATCCGAATGTGAATCTGAATGTGAATCTGAATCTAAATGTGAATGTGAATGTGAATGTGGATGTGGAACTGAAGAATGTTGAAGTGAGAGCACATTGCCAGCGTTTGTTATGAAGGTGCTACGAACAAAGACGTAATTGAAAATGTGATACAGTTTTTTCCTTAATCTACTACTTATGTATTTATTGAAGGGTATGTGCAGACAGACAGAGACAGAGAGACAGAGAGAGAGAGAGAGAGAGAGAGAGAGAGAGAGTGGGAGAGAGTTGCAAGCAGAAAGGAATCGGGGCAGATAGGAGTATGGGGCGAAGAGTATGCTATTGCATGTATTAGCAATATGATCGATGATCGATGAGGCAGTCGAGGAGTTTTCATTTTGGCAAAAAGTAACGAAGGGAAAATGTTAAGTTTGTTTTTTAAGGTCTTTTGGTTCCATTTTGCTACTTAGTTATGGCCGTTTTGTTTTTGGGCAGCCAAAAAACTGGAGAATCCAATTATAATACTAAATTAGCAAAAAAGAAAAAAGAAAAAACACAAGCACTACAACAACCACAGGAAGCACAGCCAGATAACGTGAAATATTGAAAAGAAAACCAAAAAATATTGTAAAAAATTTACACTTTAGGAAAATCTCTAAATTTTAAGCTTTCGGTGTTTTTAAGCAACATAAAAATTTAAACACAAACCAAATTAGCGAAAAAAAAATACAAAAATTTATATATATACATACATATATATATTTCGATATTTAAAATTTAATTCGGAAAAAAGAAAAACCAACAAAAAAAATTAAAATATAAAAACAAAATTAAGAAACTTTTGAGCAAAATCTCGGTGTTTTAAATTAAGTGCATGGAAAATAAATTACACTAAATGATAACACAATTAATTAATGAAAATAATAATTTAAGCCAACAGACGTAAACCAAAAACAAAAACCTCTTTCACTTTCGTGTCTTTGACTTAAAACCAAAAGCAAAAACAAAAACATATTAAGCATATTTTTAAAATGTAATTTAGCACAAAATAAAAACCAAAACCAAAACACAAAAAAAAAAACACAATTTTTAAACTACCAAAGTATTGATGTGTATTTAATATATTAATGAAAAAGTAAAAACAAATACAGAACGAAAGTCAAATGAAACTAATTAAACATAAATAATTGTTTTGTTTTTTTTTTTGTGTTTAGATTTATAATATCAGTTGGATTTTGGTTTCAATCGTTTTACGAAACTTTTACAAAACTACGAAATGCAATGCCTGCCAAAGAATTAATGTTTTTAATGCAACAAAAACAAAGAAATGTACTTATATGCAACACAAAAACAAAATAAAAATCAAACAACAACAACAACAAAAAGTTCAATAAAGCCGTTCCAAACAAGAAACAAACGACAAACAAAAAATCAAACAGAACTATATACTTGTTTAGAGATTTTTTGTGTTTCCTTATATACAAAATGAATGAAAAAAGCTAAGAAAATATGAAAAAAATAAATGTAACAAAAAACAAAAAAAAAACTGTAAAACAAATGTAAACTTTTTGCAATTTAAAATCTGAAAGAAATCAAAAACTGAATAACTATTTGTCGTGAACAAGTGAAATTATTTGTATTAAACTAATAAAGTGAAATGTTTATTGGTTTAATTTTAAACACCACAATTTTTATGCATTACATTAAAAAAAAAAAAAATGAAGCCACAAAAATAATAAAAACAAAAAAACTAAATTACAAATGCAATGGATTTTTATTCAAATTTCCAACACAACAGTGCCGCTGCGACGCTGTAACAATTTTATTTCTTCTAAACAAATGAGCTGTTTTGAAAAATGCGCAACTGTTTCATGGCTAAACAATCGATTGCTGTTATCGTTAGGAATGCATTCATCGGTAATGCTGCTCGCTACAACAGCTGCTCGGTCGCTCAACATTCCCATTTAACTTTTTCACAACCATCGGCAACGCCTTAAAACCGGAGATGGCAACGCTCGAAGCATTGAAATTATCTGCGCTGCGCAATGCATAGAAAACTGTTTTGGCTGAAAGTTTCAGTCGCAAAATAAAGTCTACAACGCTTAGTGGCGCTCAATTGCCGCATTTGATTTCACACATTAAAAAGCAGTATTATTGTTATTGTTTTTTTTGTATATACACGATTTTTTTTTGCGTTGTTTGCACCAGGTGGCGTGTCATTTTAATTAATTGTGTTTGAAAGTCTTGCAAGTACATTCATACATAAATCCCAATCGAACATTAAGTGTGTGCAACTGTGAAAGAACTGCAACAGCAAGATTCAAATAAGAATTGGGAGGAGGAGTCGAAGGAAAAGTGACGACACCGCCAACAACACCACCAACTTTAAGGCACGTCTAAAAACCGCACATAAACGCGCAAGAAAACGTATTTAAAAGCTCAAAAAAACGGTGAAAAGAAGGCACACAAAGCCGGCGTGTGAGTGTCGTGTGTGTGTGTGGTGTGTTGTGTGTGCGTGTGTGTGTGTGTGAGTGTCTGTCTGAGTGCAGAAAAAGAGCGCATCATGCAAAGCTATGCGGATGCATTAAGTGCCAAGGGCTATCGCAGCTTTGGCTTTGACACTGATGTTGAAATGGATATGGACCCGGGCATGGGTCTGGGCATTCGACGAATAGAGAAGCGCAAAGGAGGTGAGTGGGGATTACAACTACATGCAAACACATCTATATAGCGTGTCTGTGCGTGTGCGTGTGTGTGGCATAATTGCTGGTCATTGACAGGCAGCATATAAGAATATTTATATATGCACGTATACACGTATGCGTATATCATGTATACGAATTGCCCAACAAAAGAAAAGGTGCTAGGAACTGTGTCCGTTTGCCATGTCCAATTATTTATGCCACAGCACTCTGCTGAGACCCAATTGTGTGTCCTGTTTCTGAATATCATGATGTTTACCGACTCAGACTGTAGACTGTTATTTAACAGCTGAACTTCAAGAGATTCTCACTGTTATAGTCACTGTTAACGTTAGCACTGGGTCAGGGAGAATTTAAAGGGTACTTAATACAAGCGTACTTAATTACTTAATAGTTTTTAAGTTTTAAGCAAATATCAATTGCAAAACACAATGCACCAATTCTTCAAATACTATGTAAAAAGAATTTTTAAGTGTGCTCAGCTAGTGAAGAAAATCGATTGTTCAATTGCGTTTTCAGAGTTGTTCAAAAGATACAGTAGATACCCAAATAACGAACTTCATGGCTGTTATTCTTGATTAAAACTAGAAGATTCCGAAACCTGAATGTAGATTCGGCAATGATAAAAGATGAAAGCAACAATGCGCAAATTGAATACCTTGCTAGGTATGCACAGAGTCGAGTTCAACACTCGGTTTTTTATGTGTGTGTGTGCGTGTGTGTGTGCGTGTGTGTGTGCGTGTGCGTGTGTATGTGGCAAGCAAGTTAAGTGGAGGAAAAATAACACAACCGACTGTCAGACAGGGCAAAGCCATTTCGAAAAGTGGATGGCAATATACAACCGATAGTTCGAGTACACACATACACACATATATATATATATATATACATATATATATATAGATATTTTTGTGTATGCTTTTCTACTTGTTTTTGCATGCTGCTGCAGTGAAGACAATAACTTTGGACTGCTGTTTCCATTTTTAGTGAGTCCAAAATAAATATTTCGTTCGCATTGCTTGCAATCTTATCTAGGGCATAATCCACGTTGAATAAAAAGCGAAATGCTCGAGAGAGGCACTAAAAAGATGAACCGATACTAATGAAATAAAGAAGAAAAACGTGGCCTTAAGCGAAGTATATATGTCTGATTGAAGGTATGCCGATGTATATGTGTACACGTATACGTATACGTATGCATATTTATTGCTCTGTGCGTTGGGTGAGGGTCTGTTATCAGTCCCCCTAAATTCCCCTGACGTGGACCTTATCATTAGCTCTTTGCCGGCTCCACAAACAAGCCGTCTCATGAATAACAACATTGCCAACCAGATGCTTTCACAATTGTAGCAGCTGGTTATCATCATATTAATAAACTAGCGTGCGTGTGTGTGTGTGTGTGTGTGTGTGTGCGTATGCGCATAATTACAATTGAAGACATATGGTCAAAATTAAGTATGTATATTGTTATGTCCCGAAGTACTGTTGTTAGTAAGTTGTAAGGCCATAATAACAAGTTAGAACTTTTATTTCTGGGGATCAAAAGAAGAAAAAATACCAATCGTAAAATTTTCAATATACACGCATTATCAGAATTTGAAAAACATTGCTATTCATACAAATGTTTATTCAAATAAACTTGTTGCTCACAAGCAATAAAAATCGCGAAATTTATGTTTATGAAATTAACATTAACACACTGCGCAATAATGCGTTCAGAGTTTTTCAGAATTATATAGTCAAATGATCAAGCCATAAAATCTACACAGATTTATAAATGCATTACAAATACATATGTAATGTGTGTATTATTCGTGGCAATAAATGTGCTTATTTTCTTGCAGCAATACACCTGATGAATCATGCCACTTGATCATAATTGAGCTTTTGCGAACTGTCATCGAGGTGTCATCGAGCATAACCGATAAGCACATAAATAAGCAATAGCTCATTTTGGCTGAGAACTTTGGAGCGGGGGCCGACTGACTTTTGACTAGGCATAGGCATAGGTCAGGGATTCAATTAGAAACCAAACGACAACAGCAAAGAGAAGAGAAAAACAAAAACAATAATAAGAACAAATGCACTAGCAACAAACGGGAGAAAAGTTCCCACGCTCAACCGTTGCGCTTTGCTCTGCTCTGCCTTCATTTGTGTATTTGCTCTCCTTTATGTATTATACGCTTGCCGAGAGTATTATGATTCTGTTGTAACGTTTGAAACGTAACATATTGATGAAGACATCTCCAATCTTATAGAGTACATATACTACTCACCTACTGTTGCTATATATATATATATCTGTCTGTCTGATTCTGCAGGTAGCACATATGTATTAACCTTGATGTCGGTCAGACCAAATGACAATTTCAGCTGTCCAAAGTACTGCTAAATGATATATTTAGATAGAAATACAAATATCTACAGATTGACTCTGCTCTGCAAGGGTATTTCATCTTCGGCGTGCCTAACAAAACCTTTTTCTCTCTTTCTCTCTCTCTCTCTCTCTCTCTCTCTCTCTCTCTCTCGCTCTCTCAATCCCTCTCTTTGGCAAAATGTAACGGTTATTAGTCACGCTAAAATGTTTTGATTGATATTTTTGTTGCTTGACTATGCCTGATACCCTTTTAAAATGTTGACTCAACTCTTTGTTATGATTTCAAAACTTTGGCAGCATTTTCTAATCAGTGTAATCAGTTGACTTTATTATTTCATATAGCCAAAATTAGCATATCTTATCGTTTTAAACAAATGCGACGCTTATCAACTGCATTGAGTGCTTCATATGCGCAGCTCAGGCTTCAAGGGTATTTAAGCTTCGCTGCAATCCTTAATTATTGTTAGATTTTTCTTTTCTTTCTGTTTGTCTATATAATATACACACATCTTATAGTATATATGTAACTTTACGAAATCGGTTGTTTTTCTTTTTGTTGTTTTTTGTTTCTTATAGCTTCGTTTTTGCAAGTTGCTCGATGGGAAAATCAGTTGACTTCGCGAGTCCGTTCTGGCAAAAGCGCAAATAAATATTCCCAAACTGCTTTCCGGGAGAGAACCTTTCAAGTTGGTCCGGTATTGGCATTATGCAATGACCGCTAGCTAGAGTATCGCCCCCAGCCCCGGCCCACCTCCACCGACGACCGATTTAAATTTGTGACAGTTGACATCTTTATGAAAATCAATTGAGCAGCGGCCAATGGCCAAATGGCAAAGTGCCCAAAATGCCCAAGACAACAACAGCAAAAAACAAAACGTGGCAATTAATAAGTGCACAATTTGGTCGGTCAATAAAACCAACAACAAAAGCAAGAATATTTGCTGCCAAAAATAAACATAAGAACGACGACAACGATAAAAACGAGCCAGAAGATTGAACTCATTTTTTCTCCTTATTCTTTTTTTTTTTCTTTTTGTGCGAAAAAAAACCCAACAAATTTGAAGGGTAATCCCGAAACACACGTATCGAAAGCTATCCGAAGCTATTCTACAAAAATAGAGTGGAGTTATGTGCGGAAAGACTGTTAAGCGACAATCATATCCCATAATACATATCGCATAACCGATACTCATTGGCTCATTGACCGATATAATAAGCTAAATGAACTGCGATTACTTTGCAATTACGCTGACAAATTTATTTTACTTATGGAGCCATCAGGCACACCGCCTGTGGCTGCCTCGTTATCATTTGTACGCTAATTTTGATAGACCTGCTGTCGTTTACAAACAGTTCGTCAAATTATACTGCCATTCGTCGTCGTCGCCCCCCGTCCCATTTCCCCATTTCTCAGTACCATAATAAAGGCAAGTTTTGTTTTGTTTTGTTTAAGCCATTAGCATTGATTGCCGGCCGAGTGCCTAAAGGGAAAATTACTGGCACTTAAATAACCAGCACTGCACACAAAGTCGCTGTCGTAAAACCGTGTCCAAATACACATTAGTGCTATCTTATATAAATATATACATATATATATATATGTATATATATATATATATATATAGAGGGCTGTCGATCTAGGTTATAGCAATCTTGTTGTGCTAATTGTGCTTATCAATATCTTATCGATCCAAGTTAGAATGATGTTATGTACACTATGTCAATAATAGTTTTTTGCTATGCGAACAAATGCACTTTTTTGATTTGTTTTCTTCTCAAAAATTAATTTACTTTCCGTTTTTTTCGTATTTTTTCTAAATTCTCTGAAGTGGTTAGTAGAAGTTAAGGAAACGAATTAACAAGATTCATTGACGTATTAAAAACTAAAAATATCTACTTTCAGTTCTAATATGTCATATTTGCATATCAATTATCATCAACCAAATCAATTTCGAGCCCAAACTGAACTAATATACACTGTCAAAATAGTTGTAGGGCTCATTTTTGCGCACGATCAACATTTTCTTGGTAGTGGCTATCTCTCTGCTGGATAACCCCATTAGCAACACAACCAACCTATACACATGCATATATATATATAAGTGAATGTATATATTTTGTTGATCAAAAAAATTTGGTGTAACAAGCAACAAGGAAGCTTTTCTGCTCAGAGCACCAAAAGCTGAAGAGCGAAAGCTTTCAGGCTCTCTCTCTCTCTCTCTGTCGCTCTCTCTTTGTGTGGCTCTCTCGAACTCGCCCACTAAACTTTAGCCGATGTATAAACTTTGAATAAAAACATTTAGCAGTGAGCGATAAGTGCCTCCCATTTGACCGGGGCAAAGAAAGGCGAAGAATATATCTGAAATACAAAGTGAAAATAGCGCGTAAATGTGAAAATTGCGTTGCAGCCACGAAGCAGAAACAGTAGAACAGATCTATGCCCCGAGCAGGCATCAGGCATTATCTATGCAGCAATAAAATATCAAAACGCGAACTGTGCAACAAACAACTCTAAACATTAATCGTGCAAGCGACAAGCAACTTTCAGAGCGAGAGCAGAACTATTCTGTATCTGTATTTGTGTTTGATTTTTTTTTGTGTGTGAGAGAAATAGGCCAAACTAAATATTACATAAACAACAAACAACAAAAAATATATATTTATATATATACAAACATATTTGGTTTAGACATCAAAATCGACATTTGTAAAACGTTATCGAAATTCTCGAAGCGTAACAGAAGCGCCGTCGCATTAACGCCGAGGCATTAACTGTAAGCCGAGAGAATCTTTCGGATTGTGGCAGTATTGTGTGCGTGTAGTTCTGATTTGTGGCAAGAACAGAATCAGTTACAGAAAATAACATGGCATATCGGGGCATTATCGCTACCACGGACGATGCGGATCGCGATACACCGGATAGCGATTCGTTTGATGATCCACTATCCGATACCGGCAATGAGGCGGCCACCTCTCTGCCGCTTCACAGAAAATTGTCAATTGAATCTGAATCGCTTGAGGGCAGTCAGCTAATACACCAGCCGATAACCAGCAAAGTCTCCAAAATGGCCAAAGTGAATCGCACAAACTCAAAGTTTGCCAAATGCGATTGTAAATGTCCTTGTAAGTGTGACCCAAAACCAAATCCAAAACAAAATAAAACAAACAGCTTCTGCTCGCATTCTCACACACGCCTGCAGCCAAGAAGAAATTCACCAACCTACGCACACACTCACACACACACTCACACACACCTGCACAGCTAGCAGCGCACCTGTTTGAGTCTGCAACAGTCTGCTGCAAGTGAGTTGAATTTTATGATTGGCCTAAAAAGCCATTAGATTGCTGATGGAAGCTTTTCAGTTAGGAGCCAAATTCAGCATAGACATCTAATTTTTAAATAAATTAAATGGATATACGCTTCAAGCATATAACATTTATAAATAGATAAGCACATATTCGATAAGTAAACACATAAACATATATTCATTCAGCCAGTTGTCTGTCCGTTTATTGACACGCAAACAAGTCGCTTAGTGGTAGATGCCTATTTTATTTTAGCCGATATGTAATATAGCTGCATAATGGTTAATCAGTCCAAAACAAAAAGTTGCTGCATCTTAACAAATTAAGCAGAAAGACAAAATCATTCGAACTAAGATTGCTGCTGAGCAAATATTCTTTTTGATTTTTCCAATTCGTTGATAGTCACTGTAAACTAAGATTTAGTTTATGATGTGAGACCCATTCACGCCTCAAAGACCTCAATTTGATGATGATGGCTTAGTGTTGAATTTAGATCGCCCACTTTAAAGACCGGCCAGGAAAGTTGAAGCATGTCATCTCTTATCTGACAACTGACAACTGACAACTATCTCTTTGGCTCAGCTCAAATCCACTTGATGCCGCTCAACTTGATTCGACTTGAGACTGTTTCCAGCACTAAAACTATGTTTAACAGCGGGATGCTGTGTGTGTGTGTGTTTAGCGTGTGTGTGTGTGTGTGTGTTTAGTGTGTGTTTAGTGTGTGTGTGTGTTTAGTGTGTGTTGTTTTGGGCATATCTGGACAGCTATTGACTCCCAATATGTAAACAGAGAACGCTTAGCTCTTCAGTCAATCAGAGTTGTTTTCTCCACGCGTTCAAAACGCTCCTATTGCTTTATTCTAGGATTTAACATAGTTTAATACAAAAATTATTTCATTTATTTATGTAAATTGTTTAAATATTTGTGAAATGCCAGTGCTGCTTTGATTTTAGTTTATCTGGCTCTGTTGAGGTTGATCAACGATTTAGTTATTGTAGTTGCACCTGTTATAAAAAAGATGTTGTAAGTGTTTGATATGTTTGTAGTTTGGTTGTGCACAACTCACTTAAATGAAGTGCACGACTAGCAAGCAAAGCATCAGGCACAAAGACATTTCAAATAAATAGGGTATTCACATTTCGGTGTGCAGTGACATTTTTGCATTTTGTTTTGATTTTCGCTAAAGCCGGCCGCTGTTCAAGCTGACTGCGGATTTTTTTCTTTTTCGAAGCTGTCTTCTTCAGTCGGTTCGCGTTTTCGTTTTCGAAGTTGATAATCGTGGGCAGCAGCAGCAGCAGCAGCAGCAGAGGCATAATTTGTTGTTTTCGAAATCGGCTTTCAGGTATCGCTTGGAATCGTCGTCTCAGTCTCAGTCGCAGTATCAGGCTCAGTGTCAGTCTCAGTCATTGAAGCGCTAGCACTCGTTCAGGTTACAAGCTTACAACTTGCAATATACGATCGCGATCCGGAATAACCAATAAAGAAAAAGAAAAGAAAAGAAGACTTTTATGTCCAGTCAGCTCTCCTCGATATGAACTTCAATCGCATGGATAGCGCCCATCGCTTGCGCGTAGATATCAAGCTATTTGGTGGCAACGTCATGGAGCCAACGAAAACCAATAATAATAATAATGATATCATTAAAGCCGAGATCGAAACGGCACCAGAATCATCGATTTGTAGGTTGAGTAAAACAATTTATCCCATTTATTCCATCTATAAATTGCAATAAATAATTGTAGTATACTGATATATATCTATCTATCTATATATATATATATATGCAGATGAAAACATGTTCAAGTGCATAATAAGAACATTAGCATTAAAATGCGTATTCAACTTTAATTATATGTCAATTTGTTGTTTATTGCAGGCGATATGACAGATTCACCGGACGCTAATAAGACCGAGGGTGATAACGAGTTAACCAATGAAATTTCAGCACCGTATGAAGTACCTCAGTTTCCCATTGAACAGATTGAAAAGAAATTACAAATACAACGGCAACTCAATGTTAAGTAAGTGCAATATTATTCAACAACTCCTTAAATACCCAACTCCCGATCCTATTACCTTAAATTTGAATAGTCTATAGCAGAGTCTTCAAAGGCTTCAAAGAGAACTAGTTCCTTATGATTAAACTTGCTTAACAAAATCTGTGTTTCTTAGCCGATCTACAATGACGAATGCAATTTGTACAGATCAATATAGTTGATAATATCTTTGCAATAGTGTGTATTTTTCTCGCAATCGAAATTCGATATTTGTTATCGATAAAACTTATCTGCGTACGTACTGCTTCTGCTCAAAATTTGAATTGCCAGTCGGATATGGCTATAACCTCGCTATAACTCGGCAGTTGATGCTGATCAAAAATATACATAGCTTACATGTTAGGAGCTGCTTTCTTCTGCCTGATATACTTCAGCTATAAAGCTGTTTTACCCTTTTTATGCATCAGATGAGTCAATCACATGTATTATTTGATGTCTGATTGTCAGCTAAGGAAACACTTGCAGGGATTACTAATAATTTGGCTATACAGCTGGACAGTTGCCTGGATCGAGTTGCCTGGAGAGTACTAATCCACGTAGTCTGTTCGTAACATTCTCTATAGTATCGTAATGAACAACAACATCGCCGTGCAACACAAGCATTGTAATTATACTCTTTTCGAGGGTACTACAACATTCTAATGAAATGTGGAACAGATGTTGATGCCGATATATATATATATATAGCTGCAGTCAAAATAATAGGTTTGGAAAATCAATACTGAGGATAAGTAAACATGAAAAGCCAAACTTAAACTTAATAATTTGTATATTTATTATTTAAATTCATCATTATTATAGTCTTCAAATAATAGTGAAGTTTTCTCGGCTTCCCTTTCTAAAAAGTAGATATGATGGTTGTTTTTATTTTACTACGATTAGTATTTGGAAAAAAAATGTACTTTTAAAAATTCCCAGATGAAAAACGCAATTGTTTTTTGTTTTGCAGAATTGAATTTTTCCTTCATATTGAAGATTTGAAGAGGTCGCGATTATATGACCACAAAATGAGCCATATTTTCTTATATTTTATTGTCAATAACGAACGCTAATGTTCATATATATATATCGGTAAACTCACCAGGAAGCAAGGGAATATAGATGGTCAATCATAATGCGATTGATTGATTGATTCTGATGGCAATTTTATTTTGTTGGAAAGGGTATGCCAAACAGCGACTAGCGCGTTCTCTGCGACTATCAAGTTCACATTGCCTGCTTTTTGGAGGGCAAGTGCTAATCCAAGCCACTAGACGACGATGACAGACAACAAATGGTGCAGGTGTGGGCTTTAGGTAGGCCATGCCAAGCAGGTGGCCAGGTGAGCAGGTGGGTCAAAAGCGTAGACGGCAATAACAGCGTTGGACACGTTCTGATTTTGAATGGGACTGCATTAGCATTCGATGGCTCAACACACAACGCACAACACACCACACATTCGAGCCGCGTCGCCATCGCGGCTTATGGCATGATGATGAAACCAACAACCAACCAACTAGCCAACCAACCAACCAACCAACCCACCAACCAACCACCGAGCCACCACCAACCAACTACTGCGAACTAGCCGAACAATTTTTGAGTTTCGAATGCCGTCACTTTTAGTACAATTTGTGCATCCAAATAACTTAGAGCGCACCGCGACAAACGCAGCGGGCCACAAGGAAGCGCACAAGACTGGAACAGATTCAGCTTGGCGGGCTTCGATTTGGGTTTGGGCTTTCGGGTGAACCGTGAACGGAGCACGGAGAACCGAGAACTGAGAACCCTTATGGGCAGTGCCGGTTGCCGGTCTGGGTTTTGGCCTCTGTGGCTCTATCGTGCGTCGTCCCAAGACGAGTTGTTCAACGACCTACGACTGACATTGACTGACTCACAAACAGCCAACCAGTCAGTCCATCCCTCAGTCAGTCAGTCAGTCAGTTATTCAGGCAAAATACGTTTCGTATAGTTTTTGTTCGTGTGACACGCCAAGCGTCAAAAACTCCAAACTTTTCGCACTGCACTTGAAGTTTGTTGTGTGTTGTTGGTTGTTGGTTGTTTGCTGTTTGCTGTTGGTATTTTTGTTGTAGTTCGTTGTTCGTGTTTTGTACTTCAGTTTGTAAAACAGGCCTAAAAGTAATAAAACAAAGGAAAATTGTATTAAGATTACTAATCATAAATCGATAGTCGGGTAGCAAGCGACCTCTACAAAAACTGTCACATAAAGATAATGAAATTGTTTATGGTCAATCGGGTTGAGCTTCGTTTTGATGGTCGTGCACGTACTCGTGCTCTTGCTCGTGCTCGTGACACGCGTGCTTCTCTAAGCGCAGTTGCAAAGATATGATAGGCAGTATCCAAATATCGCAACTTCTTAGGAGTGAGAGAGAGGCAACCCCCGTCGCTCGACAGGGGAACAGGGGAACAATAATCAACCCCCGCCCAGTGACTCACTCACTTTACGCCACATTGCGTGCCCAATTGCAAATAATCGGGGAGTGGAGTGGGTTTTGAGCGGAGCCGGGGTAAAAGACGGGAACAGCTCTATAAATTAATCGCTCAATCGATCATTGGGAAAATTGTAAACTTGGCCTGCAACTTGACGTCGGCGCCCATTCGCTGAGTCCGGTGCTCAGGAGCAACATGTCGTTCGCGGATGATAGCTACAGCTTCTGTCGCCACTACGAGTACGAGACCCGCTCGGAACAATGGTTTATACTTGATTGAATCGCTCTCTAAATACATATAATATATATATATATATATACTGATCTTCTTTCTTTTCTACCAATGCAGGCAATCGATCTGCCAGAAACCAGCGCCGCCCACGCCTGCCAGTCCGCGGGCAAGCAGCTCGGACTCAGATGGTGGGGCGCCGACCACTTCGACCCGGCTCACCGATGCGGACATCAATTTTCAGCGTGTGTCCGTCTCTGGGGAGGATACCAGCGGTGTGCCACTCGAGGATCTGGAGCGCGCTTCCACGCTGCTCATCGAGGCGCTAAAGTTGCGCTCCCATTACATGGAAATCTCTGATCAATCGTTCCCAACGACCACAGCCCGTTTCCTCAAAACGGTTCGGCTTAAGGATCGTTACGATAATCTGCCAGTGAGAACGGTATCTGGTAAGTTCAAGTTGTCCCTTGCTATTTGCTGATCTAACGGAAAAGCAGGTGCCAGCCCTCAACCCCTTGTAGTGCCTTTAGTAGCGAATTATGTCAGTGTTGTATAGCACCCCCAAACTGATGCGATGTATTATACAAAAAATAGTTGTGTTTTATATATATATATACATATATATAAGTATATATATTGTAAAGCGATTTGTTGTGCGCTAGGAACGCGTTAAGCTCTTTACTATTTATTTCCCCCGCTCCCCCTTTCTCTCTCTCTCTTTCTCTCTCTCACTCTATCTCTTTCTCTCCATCGAAATACATATATAGATATAAATGTAAATATATATATATATATATATATATGTTTGGGTCTCTCTTTTTATATCTTGCTCGCTAGCCGCTGCCACTTTACTCCTGTCATGTCTTCTATTGCGTTTAGTAAGTTTTCCTTTTACATATATCCTATATACATATGTATTTATGTATGATTTATTATATGCAGCCCCTCTCTCTTTTTCTCTCTCTCTCTCTCTCTGTCTGTCTCTATCTCTCTCCATTTTACTTTGGTTTGTCCTTAAATATTATAATTTGTTTGATTTATTTTTTTTGCTTTGTGTGCCTTTGTTTTTCTTCATTTTGTACAAATAATTATTTTCTATTTCAATATTATTTTTCATTTTTTTTTTATAGAAATAATTCGCAAACAGAGTATGGTCAGCTTTACAGGTAATTCGGGCATTGCCACTTTGTCCGAATCAAAAAACAGTTATATCCTCTTCTTTTTTTTTGTTGCTCTCTCTTTCTCTCTCTCACACACATATACACATACTCACACACCTACAATTTGTATAATTTAGCTTTTTCATGTGTTGAGCCTATCTCTCTCTCTGTCTTTCTTTCTCTATTTTTGTGTCTTTGTGTATTCGCGCTCGCGCCCGGATGCCGCAGCATTCAGCTTTTGTCACGAACTTAACTAGCTGTATTTAACAGATTTGTGTTATGCGTTGTGCTTTTGTTTTGATTGTTTTTACTTCACGCCTATTTCCGACAACCAGAAATGTATTAAATGTAATTGAAATTAGTACCAGTCAATCCTTAACACACACCAACCCACACTCACACCAGTCTTGTTTGGTTGTTCAGAAACGCTAAGAAGTAGGTTATGAAAACTGCAATAAATTTTATTAGACAATTTTCAAATGTTCAGAAATTCACCTTTTACACATTTCTTAACATTTTGAAATTAGTGATGAAATGTTTGTCTTGTTGCAGTCGCTTACAATAACTTTGAATTGCTCGCGAAATGTTAATGCTTTTGTGATTGTCGTTTATTGAACTAAATGCGAATTCTGCTTGCAACCTAAAAAGATGAAATCAAAAACACGAATTTCTCGGTGTTTTTTCTTTTCATCTTAACTGCCTTAGCAGTTTGCATAATACACTGTTTTCTGCCAACATATTCTCATTTTACGAATACTGTTTTTAAACAGAATGCTAAACAAAAAAATAAAAACCAAAAAAAATTTAGCAAGCTTGTTGCGCACAATGAATACCAAGAGAGACAACAATTTTGTGTGCTGACAACCCTGTTCTTTACACCCACACGCACATACAAGCACCCCGTACGTTTGTGTGTAGATCATTTGTAGTTAAAAACAAACACCGTTAGTTTTAAAACTAATCGTAGCCTTGAATATAAGTAATTAACATTTTCCAAAACTTACAACTTGGAAATACTGAATCCAAACGAACCTGGACACTAAAATACCTGTGAAGATAATACTTGTGAATTTTCAGCACTAAATGTAAAAATCGTGTCCAAAATACACATCTATTCTACTGTCCAGGTGTATATGTCTGCGTTTATACGTATTTATGTATATATATATATAGAGATATATATCTTTTTTACATAAAACAAACCGACTATAAAATTGCATCCAGACATGCATCCAACATCGTCGCTTAAAGCGCCCCATGCCTGGGATGTGGAATTTGTACCTGACGAGTCTTACATAATAAAGCCAGTGAATGGTGTATTTCACATCTACAAAGATGAAGTAAGTTGCCAAAATAGATAGATACTATATACAGATACTAATATAGATGTTCTCTTTTGCAGGCATTAACTAGTGAGCTGAACTTTACCTACCCGGACATGAGTCAGTTCGTGAATGACATGCAGGTCATGTGCAATATGATTGCCGATGGACCACTGTAAGTAGAGTGTATCCATATAATTACTAATAGAACCCCAAATTGATTGTTCCTTTGTTCCTTTGCTGCTTAGGAAATCGTTTTGTTATCGTCGCCTTTGCTATTTGTCCTCCAAGTACCAGATGCATGTGCTGCTCAACGAGCTGCGTGAGCTGGCCGCCCAGAAAGCGGTGCCGCATCGTGACTTTTACAACACTAGAAAGGTGGACACTCACATACATGCAGCGTCGTGCATGAACCAGAAGCATTTGCTGCGCTTCATCAAGAAGACGCTGAAGAACAATGCCAGCGAGGTGGTCACCCACACAAACGGACAACCAATGACGTTGGCCCAGGTGTTCCAATCGATGAACCTGACCACATACGATCTGACCGTTGATATGCTCGATGTGCACGCCGATCGGAATAACGTTCCATCGTTTCGATAAATTCAATTCCAAATATAATCCCATTGGCGAGTCGCGTCTCCGGGAGGTCTTCCTCAAGACGGATAACTATTTGAATGGCAAATATTTTGCACAAATCATCAAGGTATGCAAATATATATATATGTATGTATATATAGATTACATTCAATAGCATATTAATTGTTACATACGTAGGAAGTGGCCTTTGATCTGGAAGAATCGAAATATCAGAATGCAGAACTGCGCCTCTCCATCTATGGCAAGTCGCCGGATGAGTGGAACAAGCTGGCCAAGTGGGCTATCGACAATAATGTGTACAGCTCGAATATACGCTGGTTAATACAGATACCGCGACTCTTCGATATATTCAAGTCCAACAAGATGATGACTTCATTCCAGCAAATAATCGATAATATCTTTCTACCACTATTCGAGGCGACCAATAAGCCCAGCGAGAATCCCAATTTGCATCGCTTCTTGACGTATGTGATTGGTTTCGATTCCGTTGACGATGAGTCCAAGCCGGAGAATCCACTCTTTGACAACGATGTGCCACGGCCCGAGGAATGGACATATGAGGAGAATCCGCCATATGCCTACTATATATACTATATGTATGCCAACATGACGGTGCTCAATAAGTTCAGACAGTTAGTAATCCAAATCCAAATCCAAATCGAACAATTTTGTATTTATTATTAACATCATCATTATTACCAACAGAATGCGTGGCCTGAACACTTTCGTGCTGCGTCCCCATTGCGGTGAAGCTGGACCCGTCCAGCATCTGGTCTGCGGCTACCTGATGGCCGAGAACATCTCGCACGGTCTGCTGCTGCGCAAGGTGCCCGTACTGCAGTATCTGTACTATCTGACCCAGATTGGCATCGCGATGTCACCGCTGTCAAATAACTCGCTGTTTCTCAACTACCATCGGAATCCGTTGCCCGAATATTTAGCCCGTGGATTGATCATCTCGCTATCCACCGATGATCCGTTGCAGTTTCATTTTACAAAGGTACAACCGATCGATCTGCTACATTTCATAAATAAGAAAAATTAATCACTAATTTACGCATTGCTTACAGGAACCCCTTATGGAGGAGTACAGCATTGCGGCCCAGGTATGGAAGCTCAGCTCCTGCGATATGTGTGAGCTGGCGCGGAATAGCGTCATTATGAGCGGATTCTCACATAACGTAAGCTTAAATCGATTGGAGATTTTTGTAGTTTTTACTGTATTCTATATATATATATATATATGTCTTTATATTTTGCAAAAATAGATCAAACAACAATGGCTGGGTCCCAACTACTTTGAAGATGGCATCAGTGGCAACGACATAACCCGCACCAATGTGCCCGAAATACGTGTGGCCTATCGCTATGAGACCTTACTGGATGAGCTCTCCAATATATTCAACGTGAATCAAAAGTGTCACGTCAAAGAAAACGAGTAACGTGGCACGTGGTACGTGGCACGAGGCACGCGTAACAAGGGGCTGCTGATTTATACTACACCAGCAACAACCAACGAACGTGCATACTTATTGCCTATAACATATTAATTACGTTATTCTAATTGCTTACTCAGTGTGAATCTTTATCTACTACTACAACTACTACTACTACTACTACTGCTACTGCTACTAATCAATTATAGACCGGACAGACCAAAATTCTACACACACCACGCATATATACACATAGCTACATATATACGTGTAGTACATACTTATATACAGGGCGCATGGGCTGGCAGGCAGGAGTGAGTGCAACACACAGCAAGTGCAGCAATCGATCGGCAATTTGTATAACTTTCGATTGTAGGTAAATATTTATTTTTATGGCACTGCTGGTGTTAAGGTTGCTGCTGCTTTGCAATTGAATTAGAGACAATTATTTCAAAATCGTATATACATTGAAAGTTTCAAATAAAGAAAATTCCGATTTCAAATTTGTTTAATATGTCAATATACAAAATTATGCATTTCAATTGGTGGTTAATTCGAACTGACTTAAAAATAAAATAGGGGCGTTATGTAACGGTTGTTCCATCAAACACTAGGTTCAAACTAGTTGTTTAGAGTTGCCACACTTCTTGATTTGGCGTTGCAGCTAACTATTATACTCATAATAAAAACAATGTTATTGTTATCGATGTATCGATATAGGCTAACCAACAAAATGCGATTACCTTAATACGCCCAAAATGTGCATCGATGATAACTATCGATATGCCGATATAAGATCAACAATCCGACTACACACATGAACGCATATATGCGTGCATATGTGTGTGTGTGTTATTGTGGCCGAGAGATTCTTCTCTTCAAGTTGTCTTTGTTTTCAACAAAATCAGCCACACAAAATAAACTGAAAAATATGTTGCTCACATAGAGCTGATAGAACGCGACAAATTAGCAGCCGCTGCAAAGCCGACGAAAAAGACGAAATACCTAAAAAAAAGAAATCGTAGCAGAAAGGCTGAACGGCAAACTCAAAATTGTAACTTACTCACACATACACACGCGCAGAGAGACGGACACAGACACCTCGAATTCTGAACGCGCTCTGGACGAGTCATACGCACGTATACATACATGCATGTGCGCGCCTGTGTGTGAAGATTGTATATGTGTGTGCGCATGTGTGCACAATGACCACCCAGCGAACGCATCGAAATGCCAACAGTAGCAGCAGCAGCGGCGGTGGTGGTGGCACGGTGGGGAGTCTCGGCTCGGAAGCGGACTACGAGACACTGATGCAGCGCCTCAACATTTCCAGCTATCAGCGCTCGCCCGGCGCAATTGAACACTTTATGCACGATGCACAACAACAGCAGCAGCAGCAGCAACAACACCATTCACAGCAGCCTCGCCTGCCCAGCAGCGAGGATTACAAGCTGTATGAGCGCGGCAACATAATAGCCGCCTCAAAATATGCAACGGCAACGGCAACGCCCAAGCCACACGGCGGCGGCAGCACCAGCATCGACCTGACAATGCAGCACTTGGGCAATGGTAGCAGCAATAATAGCAACACAAGCCACAATAGCCACACAAACTCACCGCTAATCTATGCACCCACGGCCCAGGTGCTGGGTCAGCGCATTGTGCCCCAAAAGCATTCGCCGGTGTATGAGAATCTCGAGTTTTATGGTCAGTTCGATACGAATCAGAAGCGTGCCCAGCCGCAGAGCCCGGCCAGTCGTCAGAGCGTCATGCTGAACGATTATCTGCTCATGCAGCCGATCGGCGGCGGTCGGTTTGCGCACACACCCGTCCCGGAGGCGCCCAAGCATCACCAGGCACACACGCACACACTCTCTCACACACACGCACATGGGCACAGCCACAATGCCATCGAGGAGCTGCAGTCGTCGCAGGTGGCGCCCATTTATGAGAATATTATACCGCATTCCGGGCAACGTGCCCAGCCGCAGGCATCCCCCGCAACGGCAACAATTTATCAGCACACAGAGATGGCGACGCCGACGCCCCATCAGGTGGCCGAGATGAATGCGTTGATGCTGTCATCTCCGCTCCATCAGCGCAGCAATAGCAACAACAACAACCATAACAGCAGCAGCTCTGGTGGACTGGGATCACCCACACAGCGCTATCGCAATCTATCGCTGCCCAGCCACCTCAGTCCAATGGGCTCGCCGGTGCCGGCACCGCTGGCCAAGCTGCAGCTCCAACAGCACACGCCCATCAAAAATCAGCAGCAGCAACAGCATCAGCAGCAACATCCACACGGTGGCATTAATGTGTCCGTCAATCCGAACTACATTGAGGACATCAACAGCTCCGATTATGTGTGCATGACTGCCAATTTGCATCGCAGCAGCAACACGGCCAAGAGTCGCAGTCCCAACAATGTTCGTCTCACGGCAATCAGTCCACAGCCGCCGTTGCCACCGCCACCGCTGGTCACCGCCACCATTCAGACGACGACGACGATGGCAACAACGTCAGCAGCAGCCCAAACACAGCCGATGCAGCTGCGTGCCACGCCCATGGCAACGACAGCCCCACTCGTTGTCGCCACATCCCCAACGCCCTCGCAGAGCAGCACAGGTGAGCGGGCAAGACGATATTGAGATCGGGATTGGGATTGTCGATATACATTGCTACTAATCTATAAATCTCTCTTTCTCTCTTTTACTTATTAATCTTATTTGAAATGCTTGCACAGCCGCTTTGCGGCCCAGACGAGGTATTCCCCATCCTCCGTCCTTCATCCTCCATCCCCAATCGCCTCTTTTAATCCAGCTTGTTGCATTTACTACATTTTGTTGTTGGGTTTACTTTTGCAGGTCTGACCAAGAATCTGCTGCCATACAGCGTGACACCGCCGCGCCCGGCTGGTCCGACAGAGGCGCAGCGCAAAATAGAGGAATTGACGCGCCAACTGGAGGAGGAGATCGAACAGAGCGAGGAGCATGGCGAATACTTTGGTGGGCACAGCTCCGATTGTAGCAGATGTAGCCAGTAGCTGCAGTAGCCAGTTTTATTTATATTCGTTTCGATTGCAGGCATTTGCCACACCTGCGGCGAGAAGGTGAAGGGTGCTGGCCAGGCCTGCCAGGCCATGGGCAATTTATATCACACAAATTGCTTCATTTGCTGCTCCTGCGGACGAGCGCTGCGTGGCAAGGCATTCTACAATGTGCACGGGCGTGTCTACTGTGAGGAGGATTACATGGTAGGCTGACACACACACATACACACACACACACATATATATATATATATATATATCTCAATCTCTTTCTCTTTCTCTTGCAGTATTCGGGCTTTCAGCAAACGGCTGAGAAATGCGCTATTTGTGGCCATCTTATTATGGAAATGGTGCGTACTCTTGCTCCCTCTCTCTATCTATCTCTTTCTGATTGATTTTTGTGGCCAACAGATTCTGCAGGCCATGGGCAAGTCATATCATCCGGGCTGCTTTCGCTGCTGCATCTGCAACGAGTGCCTCGACGGCGTCCCATTCACCGTCGATGTGGATCACAAGATTTACTGTGTCAACGATTACCATCGCATGTTTGCACCCAAATGTGCCAGCTGCGGCAAAGGTGCGACTTCTATCCACTCAAAACAAACTATATATTTCTAAATATTATAATCTTGTCTGTCTGTCTGTCCTGATACAATCCTTTAGCCAAGATCAACAATTGCTTGTAAATTGATGAATTATTTCATTTATTAATTACTTTTACCATTCGTTTAGGTATTACGCCCGTGGAGGGCACCGATGAGACGGTGCGCGTTGTGTCCATGGACAAGGACTTCCATGTGGACTGCTATATATGCGAGGAGTGCGGCATGCAGCTAACCGATGAGCCGGACAAGCGCTGCTATCCGCTGGATGGCCGACTGCTCTGCCGCGGCTGTCATCTGCAGCGACTGGCGTTGCAATCCTCGCCGCACACGCGCCACCAGGAGCCGGTGTGTGCCTCCTATCAGTATATGGGCTGAGCTGAAGCAATCCTCCCACAACTCCACACTCCCCCACCCTCCGACTGATGCATCATAAACAATTTGTTCGCACAAAATAACACACACAGAGAGACACACACACACACACACACAATAAAATATACACAGATATTTTCAATTTTCCAAATACCAATTATAATCTTTTTAATAAAAGAGAACATTTCATAAAAACAAATGCAAGTCTTCCAGTTGGTTAACCCTTATCGATGTGTTAGTGCATCAATATCTCCAGCTGCACGAGGCGATTGTTGGTGTCCGCGGACATGCGGCAGGGCAGCGTTGCAGCCATGTTTGTCAGGGCCTTGGCGCGTTGCCGTAATTGCATCAGCCGCTCCTCCTTGCTCTCGCTGATCGAATTGTCTACGCCAGAGCGGCTGCTGGTAGCGCTGCCGATGCCACCGCATCCGCTGGTGGACTTGTAATCCTTGTACTCTTCATAAATGAGATCCATGGCGGCCAGCAGGACATCGGGCAGCACCTTGATGATATCGGGACCGATCAGCTTCAGGCGTCTAACGCACTCGTCCACCTCGGCACAGCTATTTGGCGTAATGCGATTCTTGGCCAATATCTCAGCGGCCACACGACCGTTGCCCTCATGGTAGTAATCAAAGAATTTGAGCAATTGGGAGAGCAGCGTATACGTAGCCATCACATGCTCATCAACATCCACTTTGCGCTCGGTCAGCAAGTGATTCATTCGCTCCGTCACAATCGTCAGCTGCTCCCGCATGCTACCCTCGCTGGGCGGCTGATGCACCACCTGCATCAGCAGCGAGCTCAGCAAGCGCAACGCCTTGTCCAGCTGCCCGGCTATAAAGTACAGCTGAATGGCCAACTGGAATTTGGTACGCTGCGACAAATCATCGCCCACCATGCCGGCGAGCGTATACTTGTCGTGATCCATGCTGGGAAACAGTGCGAAGATGCCGCTGCAATGCCATCACAAAAAGAAGCATAAGACAAACATAAAAGGCGAACTTGAAATATGGCTGCTTACCCAACATAACGCCAGGGATCGTTGAGATCGGGCGTGCCAAAGACTAGAGTTATCATGTCGGCGTCACAGTTCTCGACAAGCATGTCGCAGACGCAGGTCAGCATCATGTTGCGTCCATCGTTGGCCTTGAAATGGCGCAGCAAGTAATAGTATTGCATTGCTTCAGTGGTGTCCGTCTGCTCGATGCATTTCGTGTACATGATGATGAGCCGGGCCAAGTTGAGGCGTCGCATGGGCGAGGGATCTGTTGGCTCGATGCAAAGCAGCGGCTGCTGGCTGTTGCTGGGCGTGCCCAGCATCGATATCTCGTTAAGGGCAATGGCCATGTGAACGGCGTGCGCACGATTCTCAGCGGTGCGGGCCAGAAACTCAATCGCCGACTCAAATTGGCCAGTTAAGACGAGCACCTGGAAATATATTGACTTCTTCTCGCCTGCATTGAAATAGTTCTCGCCATACTTGTCCAAAATGAGCGACTGCAGGCCGTTGTAGCTGAGGCGATCAATGTGATAGTCGGGACGCTCATCTGTGGCTAGCACGGACAGCTGCATCCAGAGGAAGTCATCAATGGTGCGTACCACCTCAGGGTGCGGCTCATGGGGATCGCAAGCCAGCACGATGGCATACACCTGAAACAGACAGACAGGCAGACAAGGGATAAGTTCGAGTAGAGAAATAATTCAACATTTTGTCAAATATTCTTTTGCTTTTTTCATCTGTTTTTATTCAATTCGCTTACCGCCTTTTTGTAGGGATCAGTGCAGACGCGCAGCTTATTGCTATATTCGAGCTTTAGCTGACTCTCCAGCTTTGCATTGGGTCGCTCCTGGTCGCCCAGTTCGTGATGTTGGGGATGGTGCTGTCGCTTATGCTGCTGCTCCTGCTGCTTGTGCTGGATGAGCTTTAGCAGATCGGGCGAAACGCCGGCTTCCTTGAGGAACTGTGCGGCAGCACCCAGGTCACCGCTGCGCAAACTGTAATAGACGAGCGGCCACAGCGGACATTTGTTGGTCACATCGAGTAGGCCGACCAATCTCTGTGGCAACTGGAATGTGACGGTCACAAACGAACTGACCGTATTATAGACATTGGGTATGCCGCCGCGCTGACCGACAAGCCGATTGAACTGGATGATCTTGTTCATGTACTTCTTATAGGCCTGCTCCAAATAGGCCAGAGCCAGCTGCACGAATTGTTGGCCCGTTTGGCGGGCTTTAATGGGATCTGCGGTGCGGGAGAGTGGCGTGACATTGGCCATATAGGCCAGTACGCTCCACATCTCTTGCACCGAGCCGTCGAACCCGTTCTGCGGCTCCTTGACCAGTTGCGTGAGCTTCGTCAGCAGATTGAAACGCTGGTTGCCCTGGCCGTGCTGTTTATTGTATTCGCTAATCTCTGCGGCGTACAATGCCTCAATTCGATTGAGACGAGAGCGCGGCAGCGCATTCTCTGGCAGTATTGTAGACACCATGTGACGGGGTACATCGGGAAAGTCCTCCTGAGTGGGGCCAACCATTGCGTTAAGCAGCAGCTCTTTTTCATCGCCCCACTCGGCAAACATGGCGCGCATCTTGTTTCGCTCAACCATTTTAAATATCTGGCAGGCAAACAAATATAATTAATTGAACCGAACTATATATAACACTTACATTCTGATTAGTCTCCTCAATGATGGCGATTATGGCATTATTACGCACGTTCTTCAGAAACCCATCCACATCGGTGTCGGCGATCGGATTGAGGGGCTCGAAAGATTGGCGCGCGCTCAACGATTCGACCTTTTGTGTTAGCTTTGGCAGATCCACGCCCCGGGAGCCAAGCAGCAGCTGCCTGTAATAGACATACATTTATATATATACATATGTATATACATTGTGGTTAACAACTTACGCTTGTAAATCGTTGGAGCCGTTTTGTGTGACGCGCGAATGCAATTCCTGTGTGGCCTGAAGCACTTGCGACAGCGTGCGCTCCACGGGCGGCAGTTCTGTCTCATTTGCGAGGCGTTGTGCCTCTTGCAGCAGCTCGTTCAAATTCATGCTTAAACACTTTGAAAATTGCCCACAAAATCGAAAAACAGGAAGAGGAAAGTGGAATTTCCTAATTCAGTCGGAAGCCGGCTAAAACAACAGCACGATTTTAAACGATATACTGATAGACGATACCATTCATCGCACATCTATTTCAGCAGTGCTGCCACCAATCGATAACGAAACAAAAATAAATTGTGACCCGCTGAGCTGTTTTTTTTTTAAAAGCTTAAACTTTATCGGTTGGACAGCATAGCGTTCAACGTCTGCAAATACGGTTTAATTATGCAGTCACTTTTTTTGTTTAGCATTTTAATACTTTCAAATTTCCCGGTTAGTCTAGTTCAATCAAACAACACATTTTGTAAATAATTCGCGTGAATACAGGCATTATTTCAAATATATGCAAACATTGATGGGGATTATTATTGTTCTGTGTATGAATAGTTTACAAAACTGACTCAGTGAACTTAATTTTGAAAATATTAATCTGTACGGAAACAGGGGTAAATTGACAGCACTGTTGTGGCATGCCAATGTTAAATATCGATATACATTTTCTGCAAACTATCGATATGTTAAAGACGATGACATTGTATTATGAACAATCCATGGGATTGAATCGAACACTATTCTATACTGTAACTATAGCAAACAGCAGCAGCACACCGCAATCGCTTGCAACGGAAAGCAAACGTATAATTTTTTTTTTATACTCACTATCTACACATACTGGAGTGCTAAGTACAGTGCATATTGAATTTAGTGTTCTGTGTTCGTGTGTGAATATTACCAAATACCAAATTGGCACAACTAAAGAAGAGCTAAAGAAAAACACGTACGCACGTCACGCGGCCGACCGACGACAACGCAACGATAACGCAAACAATAAAAAAAAACAAGAAACAGCAAGCAAAGAGCGTGAATTTTTAAGTTCTTTAACAGAAAGCTAAAGCTTTGCAAAAGCGTTCAAAAGAAACAACATGTCAGCCGCCGATGTTGAGACACAGTCGCAGCAGGAGTCGTCTAACGGTACCAGCAAATTTGATGTGCCCGAGATCGAATTGATCATCAAGGTGGGTTAACACTGTGCCATACACACACACACACACACAACATGCATAACCATATTCATTCATATTCATATGCATCTGCATTTGTATTTGTGTTAAATTTCTTTATGCGCGCTTTTGCTAATTTTCCGTGCATCAACAAAGTGAAAATGCTGCTGTTTTGAGTTGCAAATAACTCTGCTCACACAGCACAACACACACACGCCACACACACACACACATGTGTGTGTGTAGTACACACTGAGACACACATTCTTCTTCTTCTGAGTCGTTCCTCATCTTTTGTTTGTCCACTTTTGTGTCAAATGAAATATACAAAATTTATGCATAACGCTCATTATTCGTATTTCATTTATTTGTTATGGGTTCTGCCAGCTATTCAGAACGAAAAAAAGCTAGTTTTGAAAAGAAGGAAAAATTCCTAAGATTTTGCTGCTTTCGTTCTATCAAATACAATAAGATCGTTCAGATTGCTTTTTACACACTATACCGTTTTAGACATTTAATTGATAGGTTTAGATATAATATGTCTGAATTTGCCAAAACGTTGTTGTTGTTTCTTTTAATTCTATTTCATTTTGAATGTTGTGTTGATGAATATTGACACTTTGCTAATTATGTTGATAGCTTTAGCTTTTACATTGGTACACACATCTTCTCTTGCATCCACATATATATATTATATTTGTTTTTTAGGTTTCGAAAAGGCGTAAAAAAAGAAAATTAATGAAATTTGCAACACTGTTCATCAACAGTTTACGCTGCCCGCGCCCCCTTTTGTATTGGCTTTGCTCTGCGTTTGTTTGTTCTTGTTGTTGTTGTTGTGGTTGTTGTTGATTCTAAGCTAAGCATCGCAAAACTGGTTTGCTCTCTTTCGCTGTCTCTGGCTCTCTCCTCTTTGAGTTCTTGGCGCACACACACGCACACACTGAGAGAAACACACGTGTGCATATTTGAATTTGCATTTGTGGTGCAAAATATATTTATGCATTTCCATTTTTTGCAGTTTGTAGTTAGATTAACCAACTTAACTTAACTCATATCACATTGAAGGTGATTGCTTGACAACTCGCACATTTTCACTCACATTCTGTGTGCGTGTGCGTGTGCGTGTTTATGTGTGTGTGTGTGCGTGATTTCGATCATTCTTGGCGCCTACGTCATGCTTAGCAAGACGAAAACAACACTTCAACTCGAACGCCTTTTGTTTGGCCAGGTAATTGTCTTTGTACAGTTTCGATTGTTGATTCTATTAGTAAGGCAACCATTGATTATCATTATTAGGGCTATAAGTTCGCGCCACGCCTGCACGTTGTGCCGCGCCCCAAAAACACACACACTAAAGGAGTATGACTTATGCCACCTCTAACTGCATGCAGTTGTAACCAAAGAGCGAGAGAGAGAGAATGAGAGAAAGTGAAAGATGGATGATTGGCTGTGAGCGCACCTGTTGAGCTCAATGCACTCTCGACGAAGCAGAGGCATTTTTGACATAATGCACACGCACGCACACACATACATATATATATGTATATGTATATATATATATATATATATATATATATATATATATATACACAAGCATACACATGCCATTTGCAACCAAAAGGAAAACAACAATAAACCTAAAACGTACAAACAAAACGCTTAAGCTAAAAAGTGAAAGTTCAATTTGGTTTTGCGCCCAAATACATTGCGGCAACTTGTTGCTGTTGTTGGTGTTGTTGTTGCTGTTGCATAGACGAAGAAAGCAGCAACAGCAGCAGCAACAACCGCATTCACTCTTCCCAACTAGTGGCAGCAGCAGCAGCAAACAATCAGCAACAAAAACAAAACAAATTTGTGTTGACTACGTTCACGAGGCGAGCGAGGTCCAACAAACTAACAAAACACAATCATTGAACGCTAAACAGGTTTTTCTCGTGTGCAGTTTTCCGCCTCCTTGGCCAAAGCCGAACACAGTCATCGCCCACACACACACACACACATGGATAGGCACACACTCAAAGACAACAACATCAACAACTGCGCTCATTGTTGTGTAGGGTTTGATGCAGACACAGCTATCCTACAACTAAACTAACTCGCTGCTTTTGTTTTGCCTTGCAGATTTTTAAGGTGTGTTGTTTCAAAAATGATTACAACTGCATATATATATATATATATATATATATATATTATATATACATATATCACGCATCCATCTGCAGCGTGCCACAGCATGACATTTAGCAAAGCATGCAAGAGTAGCTTTGTTGTTGTTGCAGTTCTGTGTGTTGTGTGTGTGTGTGTGTTTTGTATATATGTATTTCATTGACAAATCGCCGAGTACACAGCACAAAAAACGAGCTTCGGAATCTATTTCTGTTGATGTTCATCTTTCGTTTGTGTTTGTGTTGATTACATATCGCACTGGAAGATAATTGATTTTAGAAATTGCTTAACACCCGCCGTGCTTTATCTGTGCGCTGGCAACTAAAATAGCAATTAAGTCACAAAGTTCGGCAAATTAAATTGACAAGCGTCGTCGTAAATAATAAGACGTTGAGCGCGCGGAGAAGGCTCGGAAGAAGGGGTAACTTGAGCAGAAGAAGAACAACAAAAAAAACAGAAGAAAAAAAAACCCATTAGCCATTTACCAATTTAGGCCAAGATACGAGCCAGCGAGCATTCTTGAAGCGCACGTTCCTCCTCCTTCCCCTCCTCCTCCTTCATACTTTATTCTTCATACTTCATGCAGCACTCACTCACACCACTCAGCGTTGATTATGTTTTATTATTATTTCTCTTTTTTTATTTTTATTTTGTACATTACTTCATCACATTGCAGAGGCAGTCGAGTTGGGTTGCTCGAGCTCTTTCTATTAGGGGCGAATGCTTCCGCTGCTGCTCGATAAGATATGTATGTGAGTGTGAGTGTGTGTGTGTGTGCCACGGTGTGTGCAGCATGTTGATACATGGTTGGGTTGGCCGGGCAAGCAGGCAAACAGGCAAGAAAGCTCCCAAGGTTGACACATCTCAGCGTCAGCAGCCCGCCCTCAACTTTAGTTATAATGCCGCATGTATTGTGCTGCTGCAGCTGTCAGCCACAAAACCGGTTCCAAAAATAAACTCCTCATTTTTTAAATACGGCACCAGGGTTGCCGATTCCCCAAAAATACTACCCAAAAAGCTGGCATATTTGAAAGTGGAAATATTTAAAGTGGTTTCATCGATTCCATCTTTAGGAATCCGAACAACTTAATAAGCGTTTTTACCTTATGCAACACTCAGAAATAGAAAATATGTAAATGCATTTTGTTGCCGTATCAAATAGAAATGTTTAAATAACAAGAAACTTAAAAAATGAGAGCTATTTGTGAGCATCACACATACATACATATTTATATACATATTCATATTTATTTGTGATTGCCGCACTCACAATTTCTGTGTTTTTTTTTTTTTTTTTTTTTTTTGTATGTTTAGGTTTTATCTTATCACGCTGTTATTCTGTATTTGTGCTGGAATGCGTTGCCCCTCGTAAAACCAACAAATCAAGAATAAAACAGACTAGTTGGAGATGTTTCGCCAACTACACATTTCCATACAAATGCATGTACAGACATATGTAGCCATAGAAGCGACGCGAGAGAGAGAGGGAGATAGATAGATGATTAATCATACGATAGATTTGTCTCGCTTCTGTGAATGATGCCATTTAGTTTTTGCGACTGCTGCTGCTGCTGGTGCTGCTTCTTCTACCCCAAACCAACAGCACACATCAGTAATTTATTTGCAAGCTAAATGAAATGCTTGTGTCTATGTGGTATTTAAAATGAACGTTTTTATTGCTGATCTGGTGATCAGTGACTGCTTTGTATTTTTCGTTTATGATTTTCAATTATGACCAAACCGCGATGCGCGCCTTGACATTTGCTAACTGCTGCCGCTTTTTGGCTTGTTTCGGATGATCATTTCTATTTTCGAACGGCAATTCGAATTGCAATCTTTCGAGCTTTTCTGTTGCATTCGATTGAACTTTGACATTTCACATGGCTGCGGCCATTGAGCAATTTTTCTTTTACACATTCAAAGGTATTTACAGTTACGAGTGTGTGTGTTGATATTCATATTCATGTACGTATTTGCACATATGTCAAAGTCTCAAAAGTATTAGTGCTGGCAATTTAATGTCAATGCAATTCCTATTAAATGAAACTAGCTTTTTTTTGTTTGTTTGGTAGCCAAATATTGTCAACACTGTCAAACGTATGAGAGAAAATAATCAGGTCACTTATGAAACTAATGTGTGATCGCCTTGTATTTATATATGTATGCAAGTACATATGTATGTATGTTCGCATCACTATATATGTACAAGCAAACTGTTAATAACATTGCTGGGCATTCACCGACTGCTAAAGCGGCTAAAGACACATGTGCAATATTTTTGTCGCTATGTAAAATGAACCGTTAAAGCTCAAACGTCAAATGCTTTGAGTGGCGACGACGCACCCGTGACGACGCTCCCTTCCCCCACTCGATCGCACACATGCATGAAGCATGGTGCTTAATGAGGGGCGGCGTGGGCGCGGCCAAAGTTTATTTGTATGTACATACATGCATATATATATGTGGTGTGTGTATCTATTATGTGATGTGGTGTGGCTATTAAGCTATTAACGCTTATTGACAGTCGCATGCAAAAAGCATGTTAATTTGTTCTTATTAGAAAATTAAACATAAAAGCCTATGTAATTGATGCGTACATGTTAAAGCAAGCGATTACGATCAATCGATTAGTGGTTGACAGGCAGCCACGATTACTAATACTCATCAGCCGATTGACCGATTGGTGATTGTTACAAGACTTCTATTTTAGGCAGAGGCAGCAACTGTTTTGTAATGTGTTAATACGCACACACAAACACAATGACATGCGTTTATTTAACACACACTTGACTTATTGCCGGCAGTCGATGAATCAACAAGTCAAGCAAGAGAGAGAGAGAGTGACAGAGAGAGGGATAAGGAGAAAAGATGATGACATCACTCTATCTTTGGTGGTCAAATGCCACGCAGGCGTGTCTGGCATGCAGAGGAACTTGGCGCAGCCTTTGAACAACTTCCTGAGCTATTAGATAGCACGACTAAACACTTTTCGATACCTATTCGATATCGTCGGCGTGCGTCAACAATGCATCACGCGACTTTGATGTGAATGCGATGTGTTGGTGATGATGTCACATGATTAAAGCTACAGTCGCCGCTCCATTAAATGAATCGAATACATTTTCGTATTAATTGGATTTGGATTTGGTAAATTGTGTTAATAACACACGCCCACATACGATATATCAATAACTTGAATATTGTTTATACTTGCATATATCGTGTATATGTATATCACACATTGTGTTGACTTGGGCGAGCGTGCACTGTATTTTGCTTTTACTTTATTGAGTTTGATTTATTCGCATGTCAAATGCGTGGCACGCGATCGCCGCTTAACTGGCATTTAGTATAGATAATTATACTCGTGTATCTATCATAGTCGGTCCACTTGACCCACATGAACATGACAACATGCTTATTATGTACCAATTAAAATTTGGCATATTTTGTTTTATTTTATTCTTCTTTTTTCTGCTTGTTTAACGCAGGCCTCGACCATCGATGGACGGCGCAAGGGGGCATGTCTGTTCTGTCAGGAGTACTTCATGGATCTGTATTTGCTGGCGGAGCTGAAGACGATTAGCCTGAAGGTGACCACAGTGGATATGCAGAAGCCGCCACCCGATTTCCGGACCAATTTCGAGGCGACACATCCACCGATCCTGATCGACAGTGGCCTGGCCATATTGGAGAACGAGAAAATCGAGCGTCACATCATGAAGAACATACCCGGCGGCTACAATCTGTTCGTGCAGGACAAGGAGGTCGCCACGCTGATTGAGAATCTGTATGTGAAATTGAAGCTGATGCTGGTAAAGAAGGACGATGCGAAGAACAATGCGCTCCTCTCGCATCTGAAGAAGATCAACGATCATTTGGCCAATCGCAACACACGCTTCCTCACCGGCGACACCATGTGCTGCTTCGACTGCGAGCTGATGCCACGTCTGCAGCACATTCGCGTTGCCGGCAAATACTTTGTCGACTTTGAGATACCGGTAAGCAGCAAACGGCACATGCAAAAACGAATTATAGTTGCTTGCATCTGTTAACTTATCAACTTATTTCGAGTGTTTGTGTATTTAAACGAATGCATTCTGATTTTGTCTGTTGATCTGTTCGTCCCGTTGCAGACACACTTGACGGCGCTGTGGCGTTATATGTACCACATGTATCAGCTGGACGCATTCACACAATCGTGCCCGGCCGATCAGGACATTATCAATCACTATAAGCTGCAACAGGTGAGCTTTGAGATTTGAAATTCAATATTCAATTGTGGCAAAGTTTGCTAAACGTCTCTCATCCTTTTCGTTTCAACGGCGCACAGAGTCTCAAAATGAAGAAGCACGAGGAACTGGAGACGCCGACGTTTACCACATCCATTCCAATTGATATTTCGGAGTAAAGTTTTATAGCCATGCACAGTTATTATTATTATTATGATACAATCTTTTTTTTTTTTGTTTGTGTGACAACAACAGCTTTACAAAGCTACGAAAACTATCAGCTATTTTTGAAACTACAACTTTGAATGACAACATACAAAACTACAACTATACAAAAGAATATAACTACGTATATAATTACTATATATACATATACACTTACATATATAAATACGCGTGAACATAACAAGCAAGTGTTTTTTAAGCAGCCACCGTTGCCTTTCTTTAAGAGCTATGCATACAATTATTTGATTTATATTTAAACCCATTTTTTGACTATATCGCCCGCCTGTGCGTGTAATATTTGTTTAATTAATTAATTAACTGTATGTATTTGATATACATAAGCTGCAGCTGCGAAAGCTATTGAAAAATCTTTTTATCGTCGTCCTTTGTATATCCTTCAACTTTAACTTCCACTGCCCCACCCCAATACCAATTGATACCAATTCCCTTTTGTTTTTCAATGTAAAGAAATAGCGTTGTTTTCTTTTATTCAGAGAATTTTATTATTTTTCTTCTTTTTTTTTGCTACCTGGCGCAAGTTGCCATTTTGTTTGCTTTTAATTTTTATTTAATACCATAACAAGAAAAAAAGAATATGTGAGGAAATTAAGAGTATTTTTTGTATTAAGTGAAAAATTATAAATAAAACAAAAACAATTTGAAATACATATTCATGTTTGTGTTTATTACGTGCAGAACAATCAACCATATTCATGTTCAGTCAGTTATTAAATATATTTTCAAATAATCATTTGAATCGCGCATTATTTGCGAGAACGATAGCTCGACGATGTAGCCCTGGTATAAAATCAGATTTCGATAACAATGGTGCTTATGGTGCATGCCAATGTGAGTCGAATCGATGTATTTGATTTCGCATATATAAGAGATATTTGCTACTTGAGCAACATAATTGGAATTGTGGTTCATTACGTTAATTTATACAGAAGATCTTACATTTGCGAAATAAATAAATGAATTAATGCAAAGTCCAAAGCATAGGCAATATAAATGGAAATGAAACATGTTTCAAGCTATCTGCTGAAACTGATTCAAATTATCCGATAGTTATTTTTTTAAATTTTTTTTTCTAATAAAAATTCCCCGAATTAATAACTTTCAGAATTTGAATTTATTAAATATATCACATTCATTGTGATTAATATGTAAAAATCGGAACCAGTCCGGTTCACTGTTCATGGCTCCCTTATTGTGATATAACAACGGCTCATGGAATGGAACAATGATAAAACGGTTCCAAACGCCTCGTGTCGCATAGCACACTTACACGATGGCCTTTTCAGGTGCAACTCTGATTCGCAACATTCACAAGTCGGCGGCATTTCGCTCTGCTGGGTCCGCCATTTTATTTAAAAAATCTATAACCCCAGCTCGAAGTGGAAGCAGCGGAGGTCAGTTGCAATTTGGAATTCAGTTTGTTCGCGAATATTCAAAAGGATCGAAAATGAGTACTTTACCCAGAGTATTCTTCGACATGACCGCCGACAACCAGCCGGTTGGTAGGATAATTATGGAGGTAAGTTGCAGTTATTTTTCCGTTTTTTTTTTTTGATTGCATTGCGGGATAATTCGGCGCATGAACATAGGTAAATGCATCTCTGCATATGAGCTTATATATGTACATATATATTTGTGTATGTATATATAGTATACACGTGTGTATTAATCACACTACCAAGTCCATAGTACGCTTGAAAAATTTAACACGTGATTAACTTGCATTTTATTTTCTGGCATATTGTGTCTAATTTAATTTACATTTATATATATATATATATGTTTAAATATATATAAATGCACATTTGCTAACATGTGTATGTATGTGTGCTTTAATTTGTATATTTGCCTTAAGTGGCAATTACCATTTTGCCACCTAAGATTTGACCGCATACCTACACATACTCCTAAAAAAAAATGCATGTGTGTATTCACATATACATAGATGTCTGTCTGTGACTGTGTGCATGCCTACGCATACACAAGTGGATGTGTATGTGTATGAATGTGTGTAAAGATAGCACAATTAAAGTTCGCCGCTTATATTTTTAGTTGCCAAGTTAAATATATGCTAAGTAACGAGCTCCAACTAAAAAAAAATGTATACACATATAAATACATATACACAAAAAATGCCGGCATTGTGCGTATGTGTGTGTATACACGAATCAAATTCATACACGCCAACATAACCTCAACATCTTAACGGCGAATTGCCTGCCATAGAATACATACGTATGTATGTTCATGCATGTATGTATTCGTGTGTGTGTTGAGAATTAAGTAAACCCGTTTGACTTTGTGGAACGAGCTTTTAAATATGAATGGTTATTTTATATTTGATGATGTAATGGGCTTACGTCAATTTCGATTGTCAAATCTATAAATCTGCTATTAGCGGTCACCCACTCGCCTCCCCTCGCGTCTCTCTCTCCCGTTGCAACGAAATCGTAGTGCATTTGTATTTGTTTAGGTGCGATGTGAGTGAGTGCTGCGAGTAGCGTGTTCTCATATTGACATTTGCATATGTATGTGTGCACAGTCTTGGTAATTTTCCGGTCATTGTACACGGTATTTAAACACACACATATATATATATATATATATATATATATATATATATACAAGCAAACATGCAAACATACATACACATTTATAGTGAGACACAAATTAGTACTTTCAGATAAACAAAATTCCATTTTGAATCATCGTTTTTAATAAATGATGTTATTTTTTTTGTTTTATTTATTTATTCTTTTTTTTTTTTGCTTTTGATTATGGATTTTGGAAAACTGGCATTTTGCATTTTGAAATATTTAGGAATTGATATTTTATTTATTTTTACAGTGCCCTGCCCTGTTCTATTCTATTTAGAATTTGAATTAATCATTTGGTTTTTATTTGTATTTGCAGCTGCGCTCTGATGTTGTGCCGAAGACGGCGGAGAATTTCCGTGCTCTGTGCACCGGCGAGAAGGGCTTCGGCTTTAAGGGCTCCAGTTTCCATCGCGTCATTCCAAACTTCATGTGCCAGGGCGGCGATTTCACCAACCACAACGGCACTGGCGGCAAGTCGATCTACGGCAACAAGTTCCCCGATGAGAATTTCACCCTTAAGCACACTGGCTCCGGCATCCTGTCGATGGCCAATGCTGGCCCCAACACCAACGGATCGCAATTCTTCATTTGCACCGTGAAGACCACCTGGTTGGACAACAAGCACGTTGTCTTTGGCGAAGTTGTTGAGGGCTTGGATGTTGTCAAGCAGATCGAGTCTTACGGTTCCCAGTCGGGCAAGACCACAAAGAAGATTGTGGTCGCTGATTGCGGAGCACTTTAAGATAGCTGAACTCAACTCCTTCTCTGGTTAAGACGAATCAAAAATACCCGTTCGCATTTTCTCAGACAAAATCTATATACTTTTTTTTTTTTTTACCAATAACTGTAATAATATGAAATACAATACATATTTTCAATAGACATTCTTATCTTATGTTATCGATACTACTCTGTACTCTATACTCTCTCTACTCTCCCCTCCGTAATCACAATGCGCAACTTTACGGATTTGTTTCCAATGCAATGCAACATGGAGGAATCCCAGTAGTACCTTAAGAGTATGAATGTAATTAACTACTACACCGACTCTGTTAACAAGATTCTAAAAACACACTGAATAAGAACAAGAAGAAGAAGAAGGGGAGGAAGAATGAAAGAAGAAAGTTAAAGAAAAGCAATCGAATCCAATCCAATCCGCATGTGCTAATTTTCGTCTCTATCTGTGTAATCTGTAAGAGAGGAGAGAGATTGCTCCGTCGTCGTCAGTCGGTGCAAGAAACCAAACCAAACCAAACAAAAAGTGATTGATTCAAGCATTTTTTAATTGTGAGAGTAATCCTAAGTGTTTGTTCACCTCCTGTGCGCTCCTAAGCTCAACTAGCGCAAACTTGTTGTATTTTTCATGCATTTACACACAAACACCACACACGCAGTGCTTTTATTACTTGGCAAGCCCCAACAATATAGAATATAACCCCTAATCTATATCTAACCTAAGTAGGTACGTGCGTGACGACTATTCGAAACTTGCGTTACAACAATTGCCCAAATTGCTTAACACGTAGTCTAACCAATTGTAAAACCAGTTAACTAATCTTTAGCAACATTGCCGATAACAAGATGTTTTTCATCCATTTTTTTACCAACAGTTTCATAATTTCGTCTTAATAAACTGAAATTAGAAAAAACACCTACAATTATAGTTGATACTTTTCTTTTAAGCTAAATATGTATATAATATTTGGATAATAGGGATTTATTGGAAGAAGATTTCAGCGCTACTTAAAGTGGCATAAAGTAAGTTGTATTCATGCTCAAAGGCGTTCACATGCCGCTCCGTGATTGCGACGGTCTGCAGTAGTTTCTCGTCGATGTTGTGCGGCTTCTGTGGCGAATTGCTTTGGTCCTTGCTGCTGGTGGACAACATGTCGTTCAGCTTGAATCGCTCGGCAGCCAGCTGCTGTGCGGTTGTCTGGCTCCAGCCGAGCTCATGGAAGTCGCCCAGTTGATTCAACATGTTGAGTATATAGATTAGGCCAATGGCGAATCCGTCCTCGAACAGCGAACATTTCGGTTGATCCTTTTTATACATTTTCAGCTTCTCCTTGACCCGGTAGTCAATGTAGTTCATAATCAGGGCGGGCGTTATGAGGAAGAACGTTCTCAAGTGATGATTGTGTGGATTGCATAAAAATGGTTGAAATCCTTGCATCAATAACTGCAATGTCAATCAATCAATAATAAATAATACATTGTATTTCAACTGTTCACTTTTGTTCAATACCTTAAAGTAATTGGTGCAGTCGGAATAACACTCCTTAAGATGCTCGACACTCTTCTCGTATTCCCTAATGGAACCCGTGGTTGTTGCCTCCAGGCTTTTGTCCTCGCATCGCCCGAAATTGCTGTTAAATCTGCACATGAAAGAACGGCTTCGAAAGTTGGCATTTTTACTGCCCGATTGCAATAAACGCACATAGCCAACAGCATTGCCTATGTTGAAGAAATGGGGATATATTTTTAATATAAAGAACTATAACTGAAGAATCAGACGTACCAACTTGAGTGATTACTTTACGGAATAGATCCATGTATGTCTCCCCATTGCTGGAGACACCCAATTTGCGTATTTTCTTGATAAAGCTCTCGGCTCTTTCGTACGGATACGACTGATATGGTTTAATATGCTTGTGCTCGGCATGGTGGCGGTATTCCTTGAGGAGTCGCGACTTGATGTGCTCGTCGTGCAGAAACGTTGAGAACGTGTAGAACTTTTGCCTCAAGAATTGATAGATGAAGTTGACGGTTGTGTTTATAATGCCCGTGCCATGTGTCTGCACCGAATTGGCCACGTGCCGCGTCCCAATAATATCGAGATGCTTGTTCCGACTCTCCATCTCCACGAACAGTTGCAGATTCATGTTGTACGCATACGTCGAGGCGAATGTGTGTATATTCCGCATTATCTGCAGCACATCGATGCCCTATTCGAAGGAAAAATATTTAATAAATATATACAAATACAGATGCAGACATTGGATATAAATATGGACAGGATTCGAAATCGGATTTGTTAGCCAAGTCCATGCCAATGTACATATATAAATCTCACTTATATATACATACTCGTATATCTTGTACATATGTATCTTACTTGATCGATTATTTGATTGGGCAAATAATCATCGACTGGTCGCAATTGTAAAAGTTTATTAGCCAAATGACGCATCTTTTCGTATGATTTCCAATCATGTGGCGCGATGGTCGTTAAATTGTAGAACGTTGCAGTGAAATAGTTTTCCAGGTTATCTACAAATACATACAAGTTGACATATATATATATATATATATATATATGAATAGCTTAAAGGCGAACCTTTCAGTATATTATAAGAGCCGGCAACTTCAATTGCCGACATTTGAATGCAGTTTCTGTAGTCGAGCGTCTGCTGGGTGAATGGCTGCTCCTGGCTAAGTAGGAGATGTGACAATGCCTCCACGCGCAATAGGTACTCCAAATGATTACATAGGAAGTCCCGCTCCCCGTCCAAGATCCTTGTGCTGGTCATGGGACACTCGTTGCTCAGATTAAATAAGCCCAGATTCTTATCCAGCTTGTTGCATGCTGCGAACATATTCTAATCGGGTTGTTAACAGATATATATATATTGATAACTAGCAACACCTACTTGCAGTAAATAGGGATTGCGCTGCTGCTGCACGTACTCCTTGAGGGCGACATCGGATAGCGCCACCGAATCGTAATTGTTGATCAGAGTCGGCGAATCGAACTGGCCGAGCAGGTTGGCTTGGTAGCGACACAGATTGTTCGCTCGCAACGAAATGGATTTGAGCAGTTTTTGCTTATCGGTCGGCAGGATGCGCTCTTTGCCCAGGAATTCGCTCAGCGCCAGATTTAGAATGGTCAGACGCCGTTTTGAGGGATAGCCCTTAATGGATTTCTCCGACAGCTTCAGCGTCGATAGAATGCTCATTTTTCTCTCCATTTGCTTGACATCAGCGATGCTCTTCTTGGTCAATTGCAATAGATGGAGTATCTTTTGCTTTTGCCATTGCAGCAAGGAGCTTAAGAAGCGCATGCAAATGATTTGATTCGATGCAAAGGTTTGCTGCAACATCTGCAAATACTGCATCAGTTTACAGATTGTGAAAAGTGTCGCTTTCGTGATGGGCAATGCCAACGCCAAGTGTCGCTTAATTAGGCCATCGATAAGACCGTTTACATCATCGGCATAGCCCTGACCCTGTAGGATTAGTTTCGAGAAGGACTTCAGCTGGCCAAAGGGCCCAGCAGCAATGACACGCTGCATGTTAATCGACCACAATGCAATGTGGGTGCCCAACTGGCGACAGCTTCTCAGATCGTTGGCATTGATTTTCTCAATGGATGCGTGATATTGCTTTAGGCAATCCTGCACTTTATCCTGGCTCTTTACCAGAGTTTTCGCATGCTTCCCGATGAATGCGTGTGGCGACCAATAAACCATCCGGCTCAGGGGCACACGCTGATATCTTGCGAGTGACTCGAGGGCATTCCTCAATAGTTTACCATCCAGCAGAATGCCGAGCTTGTGGAGCACGCAAATGAATGCTGTCAGTCGTATTAGATGCTTGGGCTCCTCATAATTCTTGTACTCGTTCGGCTGATGCGTCTCAATCGAGCCAACCAGCATGCGAATGTATGCATTGGAATGTTGAGTTATGAGATTGACATTGGCATCCTTCAGATTCATCTGTTTCTTCGTATCCAGCAAGCTATCCAAGAGTATCTATACGTGCACACAAATAATTATTAATTATAAATTATATATATATATCTATTTGAATTACCCGAAATACATTGCCAGAAATCACTGATTCGATGTCATCAAGCGATGTTTGAAGGCCATTGATCTCGAAATTGGTACAATGCTCATAAGTTGCATTGCTCTTGGCCAGCGTCTGCAGCCACTTTTTGTAGAAGGACCATTTGCTCGATAGGCTCGATTGTTCGGTGATCTCGTTAAAGACAACAATCTGTTCCAATAATTTAACCATCGCATCGAAAACATTCTGAAACAAGAAATTCTCAAGCAGTTTAAAGCAAGCAAATCGAATCTAGTTTTGTTTACTGCTTGTTTACGTTGGCAGTTGCAGTTGTGGCCAGTTGAAGGATACTTACAAAAAGGGACGCTTCATGGATGTCAACAGATATGGATACGAAGGATGTGATTTGTGTCCAAATATTCTGGAGTACAAGAATGGCGCGCTCGAGCAGAAAATACACTTGACAGAAGAAGTCAATGGCGGCGCTCATTTGGAATAGAGTGCACTCCAGTCCCACATTTTTGGTGCTCCCCTGCGACACTTGTTGGATCTCTATTTGAGAGTTTGCGTTCAAAAATTTGAGTTGCAGTTGTTGTGCGGATTTGGTCAAATCGTTGCATTGATTACACAAATTGGCAAGAGTTGTGAGCGGCTTGTTGGCCAGCAACTCGGCTTCGGACAGTTTCATACAGTTGCCGATTATAAAGTCGTTGTCCATGTAATTTATCTCAATAGCCGGTGCCACAGATGAATTATGACAATTATCAAAACAGTTGCTATGCATTTGATTTCGCAACAGTTTCATTTTATCATCGTGTTCCTCCATGAATGTGCCATAATCCCTTAGGATGTCTTCGGCGAAAATGGCTGTGAATATGCGACATACAAAATTACACTGTGGTTTCTTGCAAAAATACACACATATCTACATACATAAGGAATTTTGTTTCATTTTGTAATTGTTAAATTCTAATGTTTTGGTCTCTCTTTGTTATTAGACATAGCGATGACATCGTTTAAATGGGCGAGTTTTAAAAGCGATATCGATACATTTGCACTCACATATGTGTATCGATTAAAATTAAACTGGAAAGTTATTAGGGGTATGCCCTCAATATACTAGATTCAATTTTGATTCGGACTCAATTTTTCAATCGGAGTATAATATCAGAAAAACTGAAATGACTGACTAAATAATTAGTAAGTATTTTGCGCACACTAAAACGAACAAGAAAAAGAGTGCAAAAAAATTTTTTGTAATGAAAAAAAAAAATAGGTGCGTTGTGTGGCTGAAACATCGATATACTGGGTATATCGATAAAAGAAAGCTATCAGCTGATCTTTGTTTTGCGACTACGTAGCCAGAACCGCAATTCGCACTCGTTGCTTCTGCTGGCTATGTGGACAATGTTACAATGCTCATAATTTGATTAGGGGTACATGGATTGAGCGCAACAAACTTTCGCAAAAATATGAAAAAAGTCGCCAAAAACCTGTACATCATCGTCACCCTCTGTACTCTACTCAGCCTGGCCACGCAGGGTGCTGCGCAAAAACACTACTCAGCCACGCGAAAACTGGAGCTGCGGTAAGCAATGATTATAAACGTTATAAATACGTGATTTCAAATCCCATTGTTTGCGCTTTAGGGAGGATGTACGCCGCATGTTTCAGCATGCGTACGATGGCTATCTGAGGTATGCCGGCAACTATGATGAGCTGCGTCCGTTGACCTGTGATGGCCAAGATACGTGGGGAAGCTATTCGCTGACGCTGATCGATGCCCTGGACACATTGGCCACCATGGGCAACTTCAGCGAGTTCCGGCGTGTGCACACACTGCTCGTCGAGAAGATGAACTTCAACAGGGACATCAATGTGTCCGTCTTTGAGACGAACATACGGATTGTTGGCGGCCTCCTTTCGGCACATCTGCTGTCGCGTCGCGCCGGCATCGATGTGGAGCCCGGCTGGCCATGCACCGGGCCGCTGTTGCGCATGGCCGAGGATGTTGCCCGTCGACTGTTGCCGGCCTTTGACACGAGCACTGGGATGCCGTATGGCACCGTCAATCTGCGCTACGGTGTGCCCAGCGGAGAGACGCCCATAACGTGCACAGCCGGTGTCGGCACCTTTCTCGTTGAGTTCGGCACACTGAGCCGCCTCACTGGCAACAGCATCTACGAAGAGGTGGCTCTGCAAGCGATCTACGCACTCTGGGAGCGTCGTTCGCCGATCGGCCTCTTTGGCAATCACATCGACGTGCAGAGTGGGCGATGGACCGCAATCGATTCGGGCATCGGTGCCGGCGTTGATTCCCTCTTCGAGTATCTGGTGAAGGGGGCGATCCTTTTGAATCGGCCCGAGCTGATGGAACTGTTTGCGGAGGCGCGTGCACCGATCGATAAATATATGCGCAAGGAGGACTGGTATGTGTGGGTGGGCATGAACAAGGGACATGTGACGCTGCCCGTCTTCCAATCCCTCGAATCCTTCTGGCCGGGCATACTCAGCATTGTTGGCGACACCGAGCCAGCCTTGCGCACCATGATGCGCTACATTAGTGTGTGGAAAAAGTACGGATTCCTGCCCGAGTTCTTCAACATTCCTGCCGGCGAGGCGTCGCCCAATCGCGAGGTTTATCCACTCCGGCCCGAGCTCATCGAATCGGCCATGTATCTCTATCGATCAACCAAAAATCAATATCTTCTCGAGCTCGGCGAGCACATGCTGGAAACAATTGAGTTCAGTGCCAAAACCAGGTGCGGCTATGCGACGGTAAGCAACTTAAAGTTCACTTTATTCGTTTACAGTTCGAGATTAGATTAAGATTATTATTTCTGATTCTCTGTCAACGTCTGTCCGATAAGGTTGAAAGTTGGTTGCTTTAATTGAGATTGTGCTTGCCTTCGCAGATACGCAATGTGGTCACCCACGAGAAGGAGAACCGCATGGAATCGTTCTTCCTGGCCGAGACGACCAAGTATCTGTATCTGCTCTTCGACGAGAACAATTTTCTGCACAACGATGGCGACGATCGCCATGGCGAACTGCTGGACACCGAGGAGAATGTGTGCGTGGTGCAGGCGGGCGCCTATATTTTCAATACCGAGGCACATCCCATGGACATGTCGGCGGTGCACTGTTGCCACAATTACAAGGAGGACATCTTTGCGCAGCTGGATGTGTCCAGTTTTACGGGCAAGGCGCTTTTCGAGCACAGTCGCAAACAGCGTGTCGCTGCCCAGGAGAACTGGAAGCCCGACTGTCATCCAAGCAAAGATACCGCCAGCTTCGCAGCCTCCTTTGAGCAGTCAACGTCGAATACCAATGAACCGGAACGGGATCGCGATAAGGGGAGAAGCGCTCAGGCAACGCCAAGCTTCACAACGGCCGTCGATATTGAGGTGTTCGATGAGTACCAGCAGCCGGCGGCGGATATGCTCGTTAAATATTTTGAGCGGATACGCGAGGAGCGCGAACTGAATCGGACCCAGCAGAATCTGGCTGTTGCCCGCAATCAGCTGACCGTCAGCGATCTGGATGAGTTCTTTGGGCAGCGACGCGAGAGCTTTGCCAGTGTCGAGGATACGCTGCAGTTTGTGCTCAACTTCATGTCCAATTTCACCATGGACGTCGCCTTCATACGCGGCCTGCAGCTGTACGATGGCAACATTAGCACAGTGCTGGGCGTGGCTGCCCAAAAGGACTACGAGTCCAAGATGCGCTCCCTCTGGCAGCTCTACGTGCTGGAACAGCAGCTTACGATCAATGTGCAGCTGATCCGACGCCTGGGCTTGGATATTGTGCCACCACCAATCGATGGCGACATGTTGCGCAACTTTTTGGCCATCATACTCGAGAATCTCAATCAATCGTTGGACGAGCTGCAGACACTGCCAGCAAATAGCACACTCAATCAGACCCTTAACTCCTCCGATGTCCAACTGATACGGAATGCGATTGATGTGGCCCGCATAGACTATGTGCTGGCCATGAGGAATACGACGGCGATGCAGGAGTTTGTGCATCGCATTTACCTGCACGGCACCAATGAGGAGCAGGCGACACAGCAATTTCTGCCGCTTCTCAGTGTCGCTGAGTTGGGTAAACTGCTCACTACCCCATTGAAGCCGGCGGAGGAGCAGGAACTGTTCAAATATACGCGACGCATTGTCGACTTTCGCAAGCGCATGTCGGAGACGGTTGATCGCCTGCAGACAATCATGCAGGATCTTGGCACCACAAACACGGATTCAACATCACCACCAACAACATCGGGCAATCCCAGTCCTGTGCCGGTTGCAATGCCACCGGTAGCAATTAGCGAAACAGCCACAGCGAAACATCATCGACATCGTCAACGTCAACAGCCTCATCAGCCGCAGCAGCCGCCGCAGGCGCAGTTGCAGGATCAGGATAATCAGCAAGCCAAGGCCCCGGATGTGGGCTCCGTCTGGTCGCAATTTGTGCAAAATATATTGCGCAAAACGACCGTGCAACGGGTGAAATTTGATGAGTCTGTGCTGCTCGAGAAGACGCGCAAAGCTCTCGAGAAGCACGCCCACAAGCAATTGTCCTACGAGCTGTTCAGCTGCCGTCGCCCCCAATATATCGAATCGTTCGCCTATCGCGACTATTATCCGGAGGCAATGTAATTCAGCATCTGCCACATCTGACTGAATCTGTAGATATTAGATATATATATATGACCCTATATATGTGTCGATGCATAAGCTAAGCTGAATAATACTAATCCAATTGTTTTCTGTCTGCGAATGCCAAACAAAGTCCATTTCTCCTCATGGCACTATGTAATTTATATTCATTATATTAATACTAATGTACTTGGTACCTCAACTCGAGAACTGTTCCAGTTCCTGTTCATTTTTCCCATTTCGCATTTCGTTTGGTTTGCAATTAATTTTATTGACTGTTTGCTGATTAAATTGGCGTATTTAGTGCTTTCAATATTGACAACGATGTCGACGATGACGATTGCACAACTCCAATCCAATCAAATCGAAAAATGGCCTGCGACTAAATTCCAATTTATGCTGCTGCTCCGGCGCCTGCTCCTGCTCCTGCTCCTGTTCTTTCTCCTTCTGCGGCGGCACGCAATGGCATTTATTATACCCTGTACTCAGTACAAAATGGCTAATCTAGTCTAGTCTAGTTTATAACCGAAATAAATAACAATTACTCCATTTATAGCCTTTCAAGTTAGGCATACTGATTTCCGCGATTTTTTACTGCTTAATACTAATGGGCTTAATATTATAGCCATAAGACTCTTTCCCCTCTTTTTGTATTGGTTCCCATTCATTTTAAGTGATTTATGTTAATAGTCATATTGGAATTAGAAGACTCTTCCGTCATCCTACTCCCTCTCCCTTACCCACTCTCTCTCTCTCTCTCACTCTGTCTTGCTCATCTCTCTGACTCTGCACACCAAATTGATATTTAGACTCGCTTCACCATATTCTGCTCTCCCTCTCTCTCTCTCGCACTTACTCTCGATTAAACGTAGTCACCCTTTTTGCGGGATAACTGGTAGTCGGGCGTCTTCTTCTTCACGCGAACACTTTTACTTTGTTCAATAAGTTTATTTTCGGAAATTGCTGCATACTTCAAGGGTTCGGTTTGGTTTTGCTTGTGGAAACGGGAAAATAAGGACAACAACAACAAGTATGACGTGAAGTAAGCGAAAGTAAAAGAAAACAGCGAAAGGGAAACTTTTGCATTCATGATAACAATAATTATGATGATGATGATGATGATGACGGTGATCAGCTTTGTGCCCATTGCAAAAATAATAAATGGCAGCGCTGCTGGTGACGTTGGCGTGTCTATGTGTGTGTGTGTGTGCATGTGTGTGTATGTCTGTATATGTATGTAGGTCACGCCGCAGTTGCCGGCTGCCATTTGTATGCGTCTGTTTGCATGTGTGTATGTGTGTGTGTGTTTGGATGTGGGTGCGTGTGTAATATGGCGAAATTGCCTGTCATGGGCTGCATGGGTAATAACAGAAACAAGTACGAGAACAAGAACATCAGCAGCAACAACAATAATAATAATAATAATAGCAATGGCAAAAGTTAAATGAGTTCAAGTTTTATAAATGAAAGAAAGGAGAACGGGCGGATGTCCTTGTAGCACCACAAATCCCAATCAGAAGCAGAAGGCACGCTACGCGCCGCAGACGTTGTTCTGGCTGGCATGAAGTCAAAGGCGGCACTGGCGAATGGCGGCGGCGGTGACGACGACGACGACGATGCCGATGGCGAGCAGCACAGCAGCGATCATTTCGAGGGAGATCCACGTCCAATGCCCTACGCATTCGAAAAGGAACTAATCGACAATTCGAACAAACACATACGCATCTGTGAAGTTTTTGTGCCCTCTAACAAAGGTGTGTATGTGTGCGTGTGTGTGTGTCACATTCCAAGCAATTCCCGATCCGTTGATCGAATCTCGACTGGAAAGTGTATGCTGCTCTATCGAATGGTACAATTGAAAAATACTCATATTTTAAGTTTGCATACATACATATTTACTAGATATATTTATTTAATATACATGTATTTAAAGTTGTACCATTTGAATGATCAGCGCACCTACAAGTTGAGTTTAATACAAGAGAGCGAGCGAGCTGCGTATATATTTCAAAATATTATTCGCTCTCTTTCTCATCCATTGCTGAAAACTTAACGAAACATTTTCATGAGTCAAATATCACTTCTCGCTTCAATTTAATGTGTACAGGAGCTGAAAGTATTTATACATATGTACATAAAAATATTATTATTACTTGCAGTATATCCAATCACTAGCAAATTTTACGCCAAATGTGAGCCACAGCCGATTTCAGCGGCGCAGACGCAGCGCCACAGAAACAGTAAACCGCTCACGGAGTATCCGCTGCTGGAGTCGCAGGTGTACGGGTGGATACCGTTGCAGTGTCGGGAGGCTGCCACCTATTTGAATTGTATACATGCACCGAAGCGACGTTGCCGTATGACAAGACACGGCGAACAGATTATAGCTGGGCGCATTACTGAACGGCCACCATTTAACGGCCTAAAATTCATACTTCATTAATCAAATAAAGTTAGTAGTAACTGTGCATTTCCACTAAAAAAGTGCTTACAATATATTTACTATATATGTCCATATTTAAATTTTCGAATTGTGGCAACGCAGCGTTTTGCAACGAGTTGGCAGCTCAATTGAAGCTAATGTTTACTTTTTCTGCCGTTCTTGCCAGGATTATTTGTTCAAATTATACATAAATTCGCTGTGAAAATCTAATGAATTGTAAAATGGACATTAGTGCGACAATTGACTAATACACAAAATACACCATACCGCGAGAATATGGTAGGCATCGTCAAAGAGCAGTAAAATGAACTTTGAAGCGGAACAATCGAAGTTCATATTTTTTTTGTTTGGTTATTGTTTTTTTGTTGTTTATAACATTTGTTGTCCCTAATTACCGTCGATTTCAACCGTATTCACTTATTAACAGACCCAATCAAATGAGGCAACGAACAGGCACGCAAGCAGCCAAAACCATCGAAAACAAGACACTGATAAGGGTTCGTTGTCCTTGAATAGCGAACAACTGTTGGATGGCGTATTTCAAGCCATGCAAAAGCTTTGTAAGTCGCCGACATTTTTCACACTTTACATTCAATGTTATATGTTTACTTCTTTTTATTTCAAATTTATGCTACTATGCTATGCTACAGGGCTGCAGTTTCGCCGCATTGCCTATAGCATTATGTGCGAATTGGGTGGAAAGGAACTGGTCGAAGCGGCGGCTTCCTGGTGCCTCCAACATCCAGACATTGCCATCTGTGCTGTTGCGGCCTGTTTTGTGTTATTTTTGCCGCTGCTCATCATCTTCGGCTTTGGCATTATAACAATGGCGGTCACATTTACTGGCATCCTTGTTCTTGAAGGTATTATTCCAAATGATATTATTGAGAACAATTACCGCATCACCATAATCATTATCCACATTAATTGTAGGTACCGTGTTGACGGTTATCCTCATAATATTTCTTGCCTGCATCGCCAGTTTGACGATTGGCGTTGTCTTGTTTGCTGTCATTGCATATTTTGGGTTTGCGCAGATCTATGAATTCTTTGGAATGGAGCGTCATCGAGACGCGCTCATCACGTTTATGCAACAAAACAGAAGCTCTGTTAATGCAAGTGGACCAGCCCGAAATGCTACCGAAACAGGGTCTGCAAATTAAGTTAGTTTTTCTAAAGAACATTTGAAGCATACCCCGTAATAAACGAAAGACTGTAATATGAATTTTTTAAATCATCGAAGTATTGAATTTTAGGACACTGTGTAATTTTTCACAATATGCACGATATCGATAGTTTTATTCAGGCCATCTCCAATACAAACGAGTGAAGTTTTTACTACAGTGAAATTGTTGATAAACTCTCATTGATTAGTGTATGCAAATTTATGTATAAACTCTGCTTTTCAGCAGACCAAAGTGTTATTGACACGGTAAGCAGCCATTTCACAAAATAACATATTAACTTGGGTGTTTCTCAATACTTATTAAGTTGCAAACAAGTTGACCGATGGATGGGTATATAACATACATACATACATACAAAGTATTCACATTACGATAATTTAATGGTTATTGCATATAGTGCGTTTGTGTGCTTGTCGAATACAGACATAAGTAGTTATGGCAATTAAATATGAAATGATCAATTAAACTATTAAATTATCCCCAATAAAAGTAAACGTTTCAAAATTTAGTTTAAAAAATGAATCGCTTTAGTATTTGTATCGAGTACGTGCAGCAGTAATCGATACTGAGTATATCGTATCGTGATAATAAAACCAATCGAGCGATAGTATCGTCGAAGTTATTGCAGGTCTTCGTCCATATACACACATACTTGTTTTCGCTGGAAAATTTTTTGTAAAATTCTGTGTATTTAAGTGCGTGAAAATAAATAAAACCTGCTTTTTAGCAGATAAAATTGTTATTGACGCGGTAAGTTTATGGAGTTAAGTAATTCTTCTTTCGAGCAAATAATTTCCATCATTTGATGTGTGATGAAAAATTAAGACGCTCGCCACAAGCTAAAAAACTAGTGAAAAAAGAAACGTAGGAAAGCTGGCAATGGGCAGGGGATAGAAGTAACCAGCGGCGGGGGTGTGGCAGCCAGTTCCACACAAACAGCTAGCTACAAACACTGTCAGTTGTATATGTATGTATCCGTGCATGTTGATTTTTATTGTTATAAACATAAACAACGCCAACAATGCAAGTGCTGATCAAGTTTTAAATCAATGCTGTATTCATTTATGTATTCACCTTAGAATAAAGAAAACTCCATACTTATGTACGTTTACATGTATATGTGTACATGTGTGTGTGTATATATGTATGGGTGCAAAATGGAGCTGCCAGCTTTCTGCGCAGCATTAAACATATTTGTGTGTACATTGAATGTATGTGAGCAAAGTATGCTGTAGAAAGTATGTTACAATGAAATATACTTTTGTTTTGAAATATTTGTTATTGACATGAATTATTGTGTCAAGGCACAACTCATTTCTGTGTACAAATTAAAAATGTTTACTTTATTAGCATTTGAAATCGCAGCATATGGCAACACTGTCCAGCTGCATTGGAGTTTCCTCTTATGTACATGTGCATGTATGTATGTTTGTGTGTATGCGTGTGCATGTACATAAATTCTCTCCATTTCTCGTTCCTTCTCGCTCACTCTGGCTGCAGCATGTTTATATGTATATACTTGCAACGCGGCCGCTACGGCGTCGTTCTCACTGTTTTCCAGTCACTTGTCTGTTTCCGTTCGGTGCTGGTCGTTCGTGTTTTTGGCTGCGTGTGCCAAGAATCCAAGGCTTGCTACAACCAAAATAAAAAAAACCATAATAGTGAGCAGAACAAACATTTTTTTTTTTTGCTGTTCAACTATATTAAAAAGAAAAAAAAACGAAATATAGTTTTTTCTCGTTAGTTTGAGATTTGTGAGAGCTTTGCTCTTCGCCTTGCAGGTAATTATCAAATCACAGTAACTGTTGTTGTTGTTGCCCTACATGCTGCAAACAACAATCTCTTCAGTGTTGTGCACCTTAACATATTTTGTTTGCACCGGAAATACATGTTTGTATGTGTATACATATATTTGCATATGTGTGTGTGTGTGTGCATATATGTATAGTTCATACAATATGAGTGAGTAACGATTGCTGCATGCAAACTCGTGTTTACCTGCTCGTATCTCGGAGCACGGATCACGAGCACGACTTGTGAGGGAGTTTTGTCTCATCTTATGTTTAGCTTCTTCTGTTGAAATTTGAGTCAGCAGCGCTCTCACGTTGAATCTTTAACTAGGTAGTGTGTCAATGTTAATGTACATGCATACACACAAATGTACACATGCATATACTTGTATTTGTGTGCGCGATGTTTTTTTTTTATAACTGTGAATGAAAGTGTTGCGCTAAACGGAAAAAAAGGTTAAATATGGTTGTTTGTACATATGTTGTGTATATATGTTTGCATATATATTGTTTATTTTAATGCTCATGCAGGTAGAAAGCCGGTTGGATCAGAGATTTTCATATCATATTTAGACTGAGAAACTGAGACGAACACAACAAACAACATAAGTCTTAAATGTAAATCAACGAAATCGTATAATACCTTACTATCTTTTCTTTATATTTTCAGGTGTGGTGTAAATCGCCGAAGCCACCAAGATGAGTTACATGCCAGCCCAGAACCGTACAAGTAAGTCTAAACTTTAAAAGCAGCAGCAAAATAAACAAAAATCAATCCAGATTTGGTCTTCTCTGCGAATTGCATTTCAATCTTTGCCTGTAAGCAGAGTTTATGGGAGTGTATGCAAAAGCTCGCATTGAATTGAATGCAATGCTGAGGTACACACTGGTCAACAAACTGTTATTTACACACACAAACATACATACATATTTAAGTGAAGCTCTTTGCGTTAGGGCAGGGGGAGTGGAACGAGGCGGGGCGGGGCTCCATTCAATCAGTGTTGTTGTTATTGTTGTTGTACAGCTGCTGCAATGTGGCTCATATACGCTTCGATGCCCATTGACAAACGATTATTTTGCAGAGCATAGGCGCAGTTGCTGTAATCGATTATAAATTGTGTGGCTGTTTTCAAAGCATCTACAATAACAACAGTAACATGAATCTATCGGCCGCCATTGTTGTTGGTTATGTTCTTTTTTGCTTTTGCTTCTTTATTTACTTTCTGTTAGCTGTAGTGCATCTATCCATCTTCCATCTCCTATCTCATTCACATGAGTGCGGCCGCCATCCCCGTTAGCAACTTGTTCATTTCGTTCTTTTTCTTTTCTTTTTTTTCTTTCTCCGCTTTCAACATTATTTTATGCTGCCTTTGAAAATTGCGCATTGTAAGTTGGTGTTGGTGTTGTTGCTTTTGTTTGTCCACTGTTGCCACTTCATTTGCAATACGTTTGATTGGATGGGGGCGTCTGGCTGGCTGGCAGTGTTCCTCTCTTCTTCCCTTGCTCTCTTGCACACTGTCTCACTCGCACGCATACGTACTCGCACTCGTTCTATTCCAATAATTCAACTGCCGGCACACGTTCAAGTCTCCTTTCTGTGATTTTTGTTAAAAATTGTAATTAGAGCGCCGCAGCAGCAGCAACAGCGGGCTTTTGCTTTTGCTCCCACTTGAGAATTAGAGAATAAGGGCACAAAGTGCGTTTTAATCGATCAGGGGAAAAACATGATAAAACATGAATAAGACTTTCAATGACTTCTCGTCGGCCTTACATCTCTACATCCCAGCGCATAAGCAGTTCTCATTCAAATTCAACGGCAAATGCAAATGCAAAAACAAAGCGAATCGCTGAGCAGGCATAATTAAGGCAAAGTGGCAAACAAAACGCCCAAACGCATTGGGCGACGACATCGACTCACCCACCACCCACCCACCCACACACACAGCTGGCAACCCTCCTCCAGGCTGCAGCGTTGCCATCCTTTGGCGTAAAGTAAAAAGCACAAAGATGCTAGTGGGGAGCGAAAAAAAGGACAAAAAATGGCCTGAGTTTTGTTCGTTGTTTTTTTCTTATCGTTTTTTATTAGTATAATATTGGTATTTGACTACTGCTACGACTATCCTATTATTAATGTCTCGCTCACAAGCTAATTTATTTAAAAGACTCTTTTAAAATCCCTGAATTGCTGGAAGAATTCATATTTTACGCTCGCTCATACCAGATATTTGTGGTGCTACAATTAAAAAAGATGTGAGTGCTTTAAGAATGTTTAAAACAAGCCAATTTGTCGGCTGAAAAAGAATGGACAACACAGGCTGGCAGGCATCACGAGGCACGAGCCAGGAGGGCGGCGTTCTTCTGTTCGTCCTGGCAGCAGTTCAGCTCAGTTTGCATTTTTTGGCTTTGATTGCTCGTTGAGACACAAACGACACTGATGATTCCGTCTCCTCACACACACACTCATTTGTATATATATATATATATGTATATATATTTAGTCGCGTATATATGTGTGTTGCAAGCGACATGTTTCTTTCATTTGAAGGGGGCGTTGCTTTTACAATATGCGCAAAAAAATAATATCCTGCAGCGCTCAATTTGTCACGTTCCTATTTTTGCTGTCGTTTCTTGTTCATGATTGTTGTAGTTGTTGTTGTCGTTGTCGTGTCGCATTTCAAACACGTCAGGAAGTGAGAAGAAGCGAGAAGAAGCCAGTCGTGGAGTTTGGGCCACTTTGCCTGCTTCTTCTTTAATCCATTAGGAGTTGTAGGCAGGCTTCAATGCACAAATGAAGTACGCTCTCCTTAGTCCTTCGTTTCCCCTACACAAATCCACTAAAATGTATTTAGATAAGTACTTAAGCGTCCATCTATAAGTAAAATGAGCTGCCAACCAACCATGTGATGGCTGCAAATGCGAGCCCCACGCGACGATATATGATGGATGGATGAGTGGGTGGCCAAGAATGAATGCAAAATGTATTCAAAAACTGGTTGAACTCATTGATTTAGCAATTTTTGTTCAACTATAAGATGGCATTAGATTGGAGTGGGTGCAGTGCATCCTTCCGTTTCGTTTCGTTTTGTTTCTAGTTTTTCTGTGCAATTACAATGAATATTTTGATTGTTGCTTTTGCAGTGTCCCATAACAACCAATATAATCCCCCGGATTTGCCGCCAATGGTGTCGGCCAAGGAGCAGACACTGATGTGGCAGCAAAACTCGTATTTGGGTGACTCCGGTATACACTCGGGCGCC